CTTGTTTCACAAAAACTTCCATCTGGAGGCATAGAGGTCAACAGACACAGTGACCTTTACTTTTATTTGAGTAAAAAGAGTTTCACTGGTGTTCCTTGCCTCTCTGTCTCCCCCTTACCCCTGGCTGCAGGGTCCATGATGTGCCCTAGGAAGCCCAATATACGGTACCCAGCATACAACTCTGGTGTGGATAGGAATTTGTGAATCTTTCTGGGCATAGAGCATTGCTTTCTCAAGATATATCCATCAAGGGACCTGTGACCCAGAAAAGCTTGTTGTGGCATGGAGGTTAAAAATAATCTTGAAAGACCACTGGATGTACGGTGGAGACTGAAAAATGTGAGCCTATTTCCACATTGTCTGAAGGTTGGAGAGTTTGAGGTTGTACAATAATTGTTGACAACAACCAGGGCTACACATCCTGACCCAGGATGTTGTTACTTGGTTCTTTTGACAGTAAGATGGCACATACAGGTAGATCCACTCCCTGCTGACAGATGATCAGGATACGCAAGCATATTTCTGCTCTTGTAATTGGAGGTTTAACTTGGGAAGCAGCTGCCTTCAGGATACTTGGTCTAGGGTGGCTTCACTGCCTAAACAACAGAATGCCAATGACTTGATGTCTCAAAGGGTTAAAGGAATTAACTTTTTGAGTTTCCTTTGGATCATGGTAAAGAAGCCTTTTGTTGCCTTCTTCCCCCTTTTGTATTGGGGTATAAAAGTGGATGGAAAATTAAATATAGGTGATTTCAGTATTCACTGGAACTCTCTCCCAATACTATCCCATGTTTCTGTTTTATTATTTTTACTCATGTCTTTGTATTCATTACTAAATTTTCTGATCCCCATGCCCCACCCTGGTAAGTGGCAGTTCTGTCAAAGCTGGTCTCCAACAATGAACCCAGTGAGTCAAGCTTATCCAACTGTAAGGATTCCCTGGCCTATGTTTTGAAATCTCTCTGACATCTGAATAGGTACACCATCTATGCTACAACACTCAGAAATTTCTGCTGTGATAAGAAGATGAGGTTCAGAGTGGTAAAGAATACATCCCAAATCAGACTGACCTCAGTGTAGAGACAAGGCACACGCATGGGCCACAGAACTCAGTCCAGGGATCTCCCACCCCACCAGAGACTGGAAAGGAAAATGCCCACTGGAGAGCTCACCTGGCCGTAGGACATGGAAATACTCACTGAAGTCCTCAATTGAGACAGGATTACTCCCCTTACTTGGCAAAGGAGACCTGAGGCACACAAGTGAAGTGGAAAGTGCCAGGCCACGTGACTCGTGAGTGGTAAGGACCCAGGTTCCCATGTCTTACCCTTTCCTGTAGTAGGGAACTGCGGGCAGGCCTGCTTTTCGCCTCACCCGGCTCCTGCACGGCTAGCTTAGTCCCAGAAATAACAACACACAAATTGTATTCATTTAAGCACTGCCTGGCCCATTATCTCTAGAGAGTTAGTTACTGACTAACTCTCATATCTTGATATTAACCCATTTTTAATAATCTGTGTAGCACCACGAGGTGGTGGCTTACTGGAAAAGATTCAGCATGTCTGACCTGGTGGCTGGCTCCATGGCTTCTGCCTCATAGCCCTCTTCCCAGCATTCTGTTCTGTTTACTCCGCCTACCTAATTTTCTGTCCTATCAAGGGGCCAAGGCAGTCTCTTTATTGACCAATGAAAATAACACAATAGACAGATAACCCTCCTCCATCATTTCCCCTTTTTCTGTTTAAACAAAAAAGAAAGGCTTTTATTTTAACATAGTAAAATTACAAATAACCCTCCTCCATCACTTTCCCAGCTCTCTCCTGCAGATTCTGAGAGGAGGTAATATCAGTTCAAATACTGAGGGGTGATCCCTGGATCTTTTTCATCCCTGTTGCCACATGGAGGAGGAGGGGTGGGGAACACCATATCAATGTCACTGTGTCACTTCAAAACTAGGAACAGAGTTGGCAGGTTGGAGGGCTTAGGGATATCCAGGTTTATCAGACACTGGTGACACCATCTCCACGAGCAGCACTATGTAAAGATGCCTGGAAAGGGGGACAGCCAGCATCTGTGGGGCACCTATCTTATCCCCTACATTGGTGGTCCCACTCTCCAAATTTTACTGATGCAATTGTAACTATTATCCAGGCCACTGTGGCCTGCTTTGCTTAAAACTGCTGTCTCTAGAGAGGAAGAGCCTAAAACTCAATCAGAGCCATGCAATACATGTCACACAAGAAGGTATAGCTGAGACCTGAGCATATTCCCAATACTGACCCAAGATTCAACATGGCATGGTTCTAGCTTTCTGATTTATCACAGTAGGGTCACCACCTGAGCTGAATTCTGCTGACTCCTGAAGTTCCTCATGCCAAATCAGAATCAGCAGCAGGAGGTTCAGGAGGGAACCTGTGTCAAAGTCCTATTGCCTGGACTTGGGCTGTGTGATGCTCCCTCAGGAGTCTGGCCCAAATGCTCCATAGCACCTGAGCACGCCGATAACTGCCACTGTCACCCACACCTCGGAGGGCTCCTCTTTTCCATAGATGACATGGAGTCTTCTCAGCCGATAAAACAATACCCAGTCTGTTGGGCAATCACCCACCTTTCAAATTCAACCTTCCTTCACAGCCCTGCATGCTTGAGGGACTGTCACTGATCTCCCAAGCCTTCATGCTCTGTCTTGTGACGGCAGATGCACAAATGAACCACAGCAAATCCTGCTACTCTTCAAGCCCAGTCTAAGGCTCTTTGTCCCACTTTCCCTGTTATGGTTGGACACGAAATGTTCCCTGTTTTGTACACTCAATTCCCAATTGGTGGGACTATTTGGAGAGGCTGTAAAGTGAGGCCTGGCTAGTGTGATGAGGTCATGGGGAACAGGCCTTGGGGATGATAGCGTGGTCCCTCTAATCTTGTCTGCATTTTGTCTGTCACATGATGTGACTAGCTACCTCATGCTACTATTCCCCCACACAGGAACTGATCCTACCAACATGTCTCCACCATGGTTAACCCTTGAAACTGTGAGCCAAAACAAACTTAACCTTCCTTCCAGGGACTGTATCACATGGCCAGAAAACTAATGTGCCCTCTTGCTCAAGTGAAAGCCTTGACCTGTTTTCAGCATGCCTAGAAGACTCACTGCTGTCTTGCTTATGGACGTAGGTATGCCTGGGAATCCTGTTCCTCTGCTGTCTGACTGACATACCTCAGTGACAATCAGATTTAATCTTGGACCAAAGCCTCACACTACTTTTAGGCTGCCTCTGGCAGGCCCTCAAGTTGATAACCCTGAAGCTTATGCCCCCTTACCCCTCATTAAGTTCAGGGTCCTTTACAAAAGAAACTACCTGACCCTGACCCCAGAGTCTATGAAAAGGACAGAGGACAGGAGCCCAGTGTCTGGCCATAACTGAATTTTATTCATTTGCAGTTCAAACCCTCACTAACCTCATAGTCTTTTCCAGGAGATCCCTAGAGGGCAGCTAATGAGACCACCTACTTCGCAACCCTGTATGCCCCAGGCCTCTAAGAAATGCTGCTGAGAGAGAAGCCACAGGCTGCAGTAGTGGACAGAGGAAGGTACAGTTGGTGACAATCCTAAAACAGGCAATCTGATAGGCTGAGAGCACAGGCAAGGCCAGCGTTGAGTTGTTGGAGAACCCGGTGGAAGCTGCTTGTCTCCACACACCGGTGAGGAGTACTGCGGGTTTGAGTACGAGGCCCTGATGTGGCTGAGTAAGAGTCAGCACTGACCTTAAGCTTTCTTCCTTCTCCCCTGAAACCCATGGTGGGAACACCATGCAGACCTTCATGTGAAACATGCCAGCTTGGTCCTCTGCAGGAAGGAACTCCGTTGATCTCCTCTGGAGGTCTTTCCCAAGAGGCCCCATTCTCTGGTCCCTCTTGCCTCAGCCTTGCACAGTCAGCTTTTATTTCATCAGCAAGATAATTCTAGGTTCTTACACATAAACCAAACCTACTGCTGACCTCTATCATTGCAGGTCCTGTCCTAGACTGCCATTCTGTGCTCCAGATCACAATGTCTACTCCTTTCAGAATCAGTTTAGGGGCCCTTCCCCTAGGTAGGACACTCACCCAGCTCCTATAATGCACCATCTGTTACCCATGAGAGGACAGTCCTGGAAGAACTCTGGAAGAACTGACTGTGCAGTTCGAAAAGGGTGAGGCAGGAAAATAAACCCCAAGAAGGAGGCATGAGCTCAGAAGCCTGGGCCCCAAAGAGTGCAGGCCATGGCACTACCACTACACAGAGGTAGGCAGTGGTCAGCGTGGCAGCCCCCGCCTCTCACTCACACTGGTCCCAGATGACTTTCTCCTGGTGCTTTTTCTGCTGCAGAAGCTTTGCTGTGTTCTGCAGCTTCTTTTCTTGTTCAAACAACTTTCTGTGTAGTTTGGTGATCTCTGCCTTCAGTTCTCCAATCTAAAGAAAAAATAATGAGAAAAAATATAATAACATAAAACACTATATTACATCGGAGGAACTAAAAATAACATCAAAAGATGCTCAACTTCACTTGCAAAATATCTGAATAAGCCAGAAGCCCTTTGTGCACAATACATTAGCAGAACTGGACAGAATCAAGGGTGAGGAGGAAAGCTCAGAAGGAAAGTCAGAACTGTGATAGCCCTTGAGATGGTTGTGGCCCAGTGAGGATGCAAGATCTACTGAATTGTAAATGCATTCTATCTCTCTGCCTGTCCATTCTGTGCCACAGCATCTACCCCCAGGAACAATCACATCAGCACAGGAAGATGTCTTTCTCCATGGGCACTCACCTTGGCATTGCCAGAGGCAAGAACAATAAATGAGTTGGTTCATAGTAATCTGAATAAATAAATTGTGGTACTTACATAAAAAAGAATTGTGCAGCATTAAAAAGGATGCTGTTGAGATCTATTTATTGATTTCAAAAGATGATTATAATTAGTGAAAGAAAGAAATCAACAGACTAAATGCTGTATGTGAGGCATTTCTGTTTCATAAAGGGAAACACAGATCCCTACAGCTATAATCATATATTGATGTGGTAACCAAACATCAATGATGAGTTTTAAATTCTTGTAGTTTTTTTGTTAACATAAGTTATAATGCTGATTTAAATTTTCTAACGTTTTAATCTTAACACAACAATACTCATCAAGTACAGACCAATTTTGATTTTTTTTTTTCAGAGTGGAGTGTGCATGCCACATCCACCATCCTGTGAGTGTCCCAGTGGAGACCCCCTTAACTGACTCCAGGACTAAGAACACCCCTTTTCTTTCGGCTGCACTAAACCTTTGCTACTAAGAAGGGAAACAGTACATTGGTAGTCCCTGTAGAGTCTTTTCTAGTTTTTTCCAAACATGTTTGTGGTATCTGTGCTTTCAATAGAACATCAGATTCTAATTACATATTAAGTTGACCTGTGAGCCAGATATATGGACAGAAAGCTGGTCATATGGAAGCTAAAATATGCTTTATGGGAGACCAGATAAAGGCAAGTCACTGAAAAACACTTTGCTGGCAAATTAGGTGTGGGTGAGACAACTATAAAAGATGTAGGAGGAACAGTCTATAAGAATTCTATATTCGGATTGCTCAAGTGCCTTAAGTTTCCTCTTCATCTAAAAGAAACAGAAATTGGTAGTGACAGAAATACATAATGGATATGGTTTGTGAAAGAAAGAAGATGTGGAACTCCAATCAGAAGACCCATATTCAAAGAAAAGGCCTGGCCCTATATCAAAGGAATGACAAATGAACGCACATTTATCTGTTTTAAGCTAAACTAAAATGTTTAAGGTATGTATCTTTTTTATTCCCCACCTTAACTTCCTTTAGGTTAACCAATCACGTCAGGTACAAAGACTTCAGTGCTTCTCCAAAACAGATCCTAATTTCATCATTAGGTTTGCTTTGATTCTTCTCTAGTACTTATCTTCTAGTCAGGATTTCACAGGCCACAATTCTAGGACGAAGTCTCCCTACAGTTCTGCATCTGCAACACTGGACTAGCATCTGGCTCTTCTTTCATACTGTAGTAAAATGAGATTCAAAGTATGGTGGAAGCCGGGAAGGCAGTCTTGCGGGAGGATGGTTCTTTCCTAGCTTGCCTGGTTTATCCCTTTGCTCTTTCTATAGTCAGGTCAGCAAAGGGCTTAAATAGGAAGGAATAATTCTGCAGCTACAATGTTTCAGGGCTTTTATTGATAGATGATTATAATTAGTGATAAAGAAACCAAAACCAACAAGTGTTCATAAAACTGAACACAGATGTACTGATAAGGCATAAACCTTAGTTATTTCCAAGAGATATGATTTCAGGCTGTCTGAAACGGTAATTTGTGTGTGTGTGTGTGTGTGTGTGTGTGTATGTACTACAGATCTGTGTGTATTATACATATTCACGTGTGTATATGCACATGTGCTTGTACCTGTGTGAACACAAACACGAGGCCAGAGAACAGCATTGGGTGCTTTTCTTCATTGCTATCCATCTTAGTTTTGAGGCAAGGTTTCCCACTGACTCTGAAATCACTGATTTAGCTAGGTAGTCACTCAATTTTGCCACTACTCCTTCCCTTAATGCTAGGCTCAGATATGTGCATACCCTTCAGGCCCAGATTTGACACGGGTGCTCAGGTCCTCATGCCTCTACAGGTTTTTCCATCTGAGCCAGCTCCCTAGCCCCATTCATATATTCTTTAAAGCTATAATGCTGATTTAACAGTTCAATTAATACTCCCTCCCTCCTGGGAGTTCAGGAAGCCATGCCATGATAGATGGCAGCAATGACCCCAACCAGCACCAGCGGCTATTGAAGAGCAGGTGCCAGCCTGCAGTTTGCAGGTCACTGCTTACCAGCACTCACCTAAAACTGGACATCTTCAAGCTAGCACTTAAAACAAGTAAATTTAAATATTTATGTCTGTTGTTTCAGTGTACTTAAATCTTCCCGTTCATCTCATGATGAAAAGTATACTAAGAGAGCAAAATTCTAGAGCCTAGCTCTGCCACTTCTTGGCTGCAGAATTCTGAGGCAAGTCATGTAACTTCCTGAAGTTTTGGTTTCTACTTCTGAAAAATGGGACTAAGAATGTGCAACTCCAGCACAGGGAGGATTCTGAATGATGACAACCCAAGGAAATAATAAGTAGTGGGCATGCTGATCACCCTCATCTTACCGTTACATGTTGTACACATGTATTAGAACCTCACAGCATAAAATTACACATAAAAATGTGTAATTGTAGCAATTAAATATAAAATGCGTTAATTAAAAAAATGAATAATGACACCTTGACCTAATTGTCCAAACATACTCCATTTGTGAATTAAAAAAGAAAAACTACCTAAGTCCCCGAGGCCACAACAAGGGCTAAGATTTTAGTGTAAGCAGAATATGTGGCACCAAGTAGGCACTTAGAATCAATAAACAGAAGTGGAAGTCTCCCACCCCCACCCTAGAGGACACACGCACCATCAGTGCTTCACCTGGCTTCTGGAGAGGTTACTCTTTTCCTTGTTATGATGAGCATCTCAAATAACTATAGAAGTCAACAGAATTGGAGAGGAATCCCAGGAACCTGCCCAGAACTTACAACTGTCAGTTCAAGGCCACACTGGTTTAGCCTCCCTCCAATGTCGTGTCGTCTATAAAACAGTTCAGTATATATCACCTACGAAGTTCTCTTTGAACCTGTACAGCATTAGCACAAGATAACTCCTGAGCACCACTGAGCATGACTAACCTGAAAACACAAACCCCAAATACCAGACTTTTAAAGCAAGTGTATTAGGAATGCCTAATATATACACACACATAGTCTGTCAAATCCTGAAAAGCAACCAAAGTCAGACTTCTTTTTTTTTTTTAAAAAAAATATAATCTATTCAACTTAGCATCCAAACAAGCAGTACATTGTTACAAGCTACCTTCTTTTAATCTGTGGTTTTCAATGCTCCTGGTTTTACACATCAGACTGGCAAAAGTGAGGTCCTAGCAGCTGCACTTACCTAATACTTTCAGGGGATACTGTGGTTCAGGTCCAAGATTTACCTCCCTCTTCCTCACTAGGATGTTGTATGGTCTAAGCTCATTTTGTGTATCTGCCCAGACCTGAAATAAGTCATTTCCTGTAGGAGGCCTGGCCCAACCCTTGAAAAGAGGCTCTCAGAACCAGTCTTAGGGTATCTACTGGGTTTGCTGCTCTGAATCCAATTATTTCTACAGTATTTTATGTGAAGTGATTCAGTCAATTTGTAAAACAAAAAACGCATCATAGTTCATTTCTATGCTTATAATTCAAATTTAGGATCATATGGTTTTCATTTCTCTGATTTCATATTTATCTTTCAGTAAAACTCTCAGTTCCTAATGAAATTCTGCACTGTTTGTCTTACATTACAGGTGAAGGCACCTGCTACCAAAGCGGCTAATAAGGTGAAGTCCCAGGCCCCATGTGGTGGAAGGAGTGAACTGACTTCTATAGGCAGTCCTTTGACTCCTACATGCATGTCAGTACACAAGCATGTGTGGACACATAAAAAATAAATAAATGTAAAGAATTTACACTTATCTTGCAACAGAAACATACCAGATTATTAACACCTGCAAACAGTGTCTGTGAACAACAAAGAAAACCGTTGAAAACTCTGTGCTTTGGGGAAGTCTCAAACCAATGTGGTGTATCACTGGCATGTCTGCTCCCATGGTCATGTCCCCAGTGATACACAGTATGGCTGGCTGACTTCCCCTTGCTATGAATCTTTAGACATTGCTCCCTCACTCCCATTTTGATTAATTCTATTTATAATTATGCAAAGTTTTATATGGCTCCAAAGTCAAATCTACAAATGAGTGTTGATTAGAAAAATCATCATCTACCTCTGACCCTCCAAGCTAACCCCTCACAGTCCTATGAGTCTCCTATTTTAAGGATATACCTACATTTGGTAACCCTTCATATACATTTCTCAGATAAACTGATGCACATTTTCCAGGGCATTGCTAGGGGCTGAAGGGGGAGTTGAGTTAAATACAAAGGTAAACAGATAACACAGAGAAAAGAGGAGGTTGTGAAGCACCTAGACTTGTTGCTAAAAACTCAGAAGTCTGCTTCACCCACACCAAGCAAAAGGCGCCACATGAAGACGAGGTAGAAAAAAGAAATGTGCCCAGAAGCAACTTCCTACCACACAGCAGTCCATGAACACCAGCAACAACATGGTGCATCTCTGCGGTCCTCGGCTCTGAATCCTATGATGCTGACGTGAACATAATCCATTACCCAAGACGCCCTCAAGAAGGGTGCCTCAACACAAACACTGATAGCCCCCTGATTCATTTGCAGGTGGAAGAGGATCAACAGGGCTACAAGAGTATGTGTGCACACTTGTGTATGTGTGCTTATATCTGTGTGTTTGTGTCTTTGTGGGTGTATGTATTCTGTCAAAGTAGACAAACTGGATTCTATCTACTTAACAAACAGCTTCTTCTGTCTGCCAAGGGCAAAAAAAATGCACCAAATTGTTTAACTCAGATATGTTACCTTTAACATAATTTAGAGCAGGCAATGATTTTGGAGAGTGGAAAAAATTATTCATTCATTTAAAAACACGAATAAAACAGAACTAGATCCTGAAGGAAAATAGAGAGAGACAGGCATTAAGCAAACAAATACATAATTACAGTGTGGGTAAGGGTTTGATGAAATAGAAGATGGTGCTATGGCTGAGTGACCAAGGGGCCCTCTTCCTTGACTTGAGGGTAAAAGGCAGTCAGCAGAATCATAGGACATACATAGCAGGCAGACGGTCAGTGTCATGTAAGCCTCCAATAGAAAAGAGTCTGTGGGTTCAGAGAAAGAAAAGCCAGTAAGGTTAGAGCTCAAGTGATCCAGTTATCACTCATCTTTCATCCAAGGCTCCACCAACTAAAAGTGGGCTCGGAATGGCTGCCCCATGTCACATGTATGATTATAAACATCTTTGAGCACGGTGTATCCACATTGCTCCCCAGGACACTCGTGTCATGGGAACTTTCGGTACAAACAATCTCATTGCCAGGTTGTGAAGGTCTGAGAGCTGCCAAAACTAAACGAGGTAGTGACTTGAAATGCAAACTTCCCTTCTGCCTTTGTGCTCACCTTTGGAAAACATTTATTAATCCAGTCAAATGAAATAAAAATTATCCACCAGGCTACCAAGCAGAACTCTAACATCCTTTTCCAGGATTAGCCAGGGTTTTGTACACTGTGCCAGGACACACATGAATCCTACTGTTGAAAGCCAAGACAAGGCTTCTGACCTTTCACTCTCAAATAGTTAAATAGTTTTTCACAAAAATCCAGCAGAAGCCATCAATAGAACAGAAGATCCTGAAGTGCAAGGCATGGCTAGGAATATGAGCAAGCTGGTCCATAAAGACAAGCTGACAGGTGAAATCCAGCAAGTCAAGAACAAACCCAGAGTTCACACATGTATGCTTTCAAATCAGTCCCACAACCCAGGCCCTGAACTTTGTACAGAATACCACTCAATAAAGGCAGGCTGGGAATTAGTTAAGAACTCAGTGTGGCCCCCAAACCCTGGGTACCATGCCCTATAACACATCCTTACGGTGGGGCACATTAGCTGTGGGCCAGTTCTGAACTGGCCATAGAATGAACAGAAACTCAGGCCCTCTGGAGTACTTGAGCCTCTGAGGATGTGGGATCACCTACCTGCTCACAGTGAAGTGAACACTGGCCATCTGTGGGGACTGACACCCTCCAGAAGAGTTTCAGCAACCTTGAGGCTTCTTCCAGGACCAGTCTGGCTGTGTTCATGCTGGAGAGAAACTTGCTCAGAGGCACAGAGAGTGGAACCTACAAAGGATAACAAGGCTATTACAAGTCACTTTGACAGGGATCACTCCAGACAAGCATGACTTAATAGGCAGCAGAAGGCTTCAGACCAGGGCTCCTGTTCTACATGATGAGAGGGAGCCAGGGTTATGCAACACGGTTGAGCTTTACAGTAGAGAGAAGTGTGGTGGTAAGTTTAGCCCAGCCAGTAACCATGGTTTGTAACCCACGGTAACTCCATCCAGACCACCAGAGAGCAAATGATAGCAACACAGCCCAGGGCACAACACTGATATATTTGCTACAGATGGCTTTTTGAGAATGTATGGTATCAGGGGTCTCTGGAACCTCTCTCCGTCTCTGGGCTGGAGGCACGCTCACATGGGGGAGGTGTCAAAGGCAAGAGAACAGAAAGAATGTGGTGTAGCGAAAGAGAGATAAAAAGAGGAGCAAGAGCAAACTGAAAAGCATTTCTCTTTGCAACTGATAGATATAAAACTGCACACCTGTTTATATAGCAAAATGACAAAAATATGAATATTATTCAACAAAGACAAAGGTGTCCAGAAACAGGCATTAGCTCAGAACCATAGGCACAAGCTCTCTGAAGTGTAAAGTAACATGCTAACAGTGAACAGGATTCCTAAAACCTTCCCAGCCTTTAAATGGGGAAACCTACTTTACACCTAATCAAAATATAGTCAAAAAGATAACTCACTGCAGTTGACATGCCCACAAACAGTGAAAGAAGGAACAGTCCATGCCACATCTGCAGTAGCGTATTGGCAGTCACTGAAAAGGCAAGTGCTCAAAAGAAAAAGTATTAATACCAAGTAGCTGAAATATATGAACCTCCTATTTCTGACTATTTGATAAACTTCAAGTGTCCCAAAAATATGTGTTTATTTTTGTATGTTTCTCTCTCTCTCTCTCTCTCTCTCTCTCTCTCACACACACACACACACACACACACATACACACACACACACAATTACAAGTGCTGACCTTTAAGTGGTATTTGAAGAGAAGTTTTGTTTTTATTCTTTTCTACAATTTTAGCTTTCAAAATAAGTATTTTTTAATTAGAAAAGAACAGGAATCTTATTAGTGTTAATTTATTCAATATTATTTACCAAGCACTTATTCTATACAAGGCTTAAGGGGAGTAGGTACTGCTTATTTAATGCTCCATAAAAGCACTATCCCTTCTCTCGTGGCGCTTATCATCTAGGAGAAGACAAAATGCAAATATGATTCTTAAATAAAGTAAAACAAAAAAAGCAAAGTCACACACAAAGCCAAAGCTAATACCATAGGGAACTCAGCTGTGTTCGGTGACAATCTAGACTAACTGAGGAAATGACTCAGTGGGCAAAGTGCTTGCTGAGCAAGCATGTAGATAAGAGTTCGAGCAAGAACATGTAGATGCTGGGCAGTGTGGTGGCCATCTAAAATCCAAGCACTAAAGAGGGAGAGTTTGGGGATCCAGACTCTCAAACAGTTGGCTAGCTACACTGGTGATCAGTGAGTTTGGGTTCAATCGAGAAACTCCACCTCATTAAAGAATGTAGACAGCAATGAGACTGGAAATCAACATCAAACCTCCACACATATTAGTATCTGCACATATATATATAATCACATACAGGTAATCACATACATAATACATATGTACATGCACAACATACCTACATATACATGCAAAGGAAAAGAAGCCTTCAAAGTGGGATCCAGAAGCTGTGACTAATAGAAGCTCAAAGGTTTAGTACCATCTCTCACCTGGTGCCTTGGAGGTAATGCATGTCAAGCACATGATGAGTTGTGTCAGACACCTAAGTCTGTGACAACGGGTAACTTGAGATGAGGAGGATTCCAGGAAGATGAGGTAGAGAGAAGAGCGAAGCTGAGGATGGGGAATGCCAAGCCAGAAAAGTCAAGAGAAGGAGGCTGGAGAGATATGGTGGGAAACAAGGACAGCACCTGTGGCCCTGCCTGTTCAGAGTGGGACATGTCGGGGAAAGAGTGGTGACTGACAGTGGGCAGACTGACTGAAGCCAGCCCAGCAACCAGAAGTCCTTAGAGCTGCTGCCCAGAGAGAAGGGGGTCAGTCGGCCAACACTGGCCAGAAGGCAGCTCTGTCACAATGAAGCATGTTGGCTGCAGGACTGAGAACAGTCAGTGTTCAGCATCTCTACACTGAACTGATATAACCTCCTTCACAGGGCTGTTCTGAGCAAATACACACAGAATCTCCTCTGCAGGAAGATGACCTTCAGGTGGACATAGAACATCTCTCAGGAACAAATGCATCACAGAGTGGCTCACGGTCAGATGAGAGCTCTGTGTGATAAGGGGACAGGCTGGTTGGGTCTGGTACAGTGTGCGTGAAGATCAGGGCCTCTAACTGCCCCACAGCAGCCCAGGAGCCAAGTAGACAAGTCTGCCCAGATGGTGTGTAGTGGAGGGGTGCAATGACTGGACACAAGAGGACGGAGGGACAAAGAGTAGCAGAAAGTCTGGGAAGAAGTGAGAAGTCACATAGCAGTGGCCATCATAACCCAGGGTACAATCTCAACTTGCTGGCCACTGATCACCAACAATCTGCCCCTTCACCTCTACGCTTTGATGGGCAACAGTTCCCAACTCCTCCCTTTTAGGGCTTTACTAAAGTCTAGGCTATTAGGAATCTTCCAGAGAATATAGCCAGCCTATCTGCTTACTGAGAACAGGAAGGATCTCACTACATCAGCCCTACACTTAGGTTACCTTTGGCCCCAGCTTTTGACCTGTGGGGCCCAGAGCCTCTTGAGTTTGAATGTCCATCTTGGCAAGCAGTCTCTGGCCACGGCTGATCTGCTTATGGAGGGCCTCATAGTCCCCAATCAGGCCCAGCACATGGGGGCCACTCTTGCTTGCCCACACATGGTGTTCAGCAACCAGGCAGGGCATGCAAGGGGGGCTGATAATGGAAGTGCTACTGTCACAGGAGAGGGAGTCCACATCAGTTCCAGACAGCAGAGGAGTCTCGGAAGCTACAAAAGAAGAGGCAAATGTTAGATCTACTTGGGGTGGCATCTGTGCCCATGGAGTTATGCTGAAAGAGCACGAGAGCAATGGGGCCGGACCTTGAGCCTACAGCTGTATTATCTTACACTGAGCAAAGACTGAAATCAACTTAACCAATGTTTATTGAGCACTCACTCTGTGGTAGACCCTAGGCTGGTAAGATGAACCATGCTATTATTTTCATGACAATAGTTCAGGATCTAATGGGAATATAGAAGCTGCAGGAATTATAAATGCAAAGTGAGAGTGAGCCAGAGATCAAGGTTAAAGAGCTATCTGAGCAAGGAGAGAAGTCAAGGAAGGCTCCCTGGAAGGGGCAGCTTGAGCTGTCCCAGACAGGAAGTCAGCATTATACAGCTAGAAAATCTATTGTTTTTTAACTTGGTTGATTTTGACTGGAGTGGCTGGAGAGGCATTTTACAGAGATGCCTGCATTCTTGAGTCTTGAGGAAGTGGGGGGACTAGACTGGTGAAAATTAAAAAACGTGAGAATGTTAAAGCACAGTTGGAGGTAAAGACTCGTCTGTGTGGTCAGCCCCCACTGCAGAGGGATGAGACTGTCCAGTACTGCTGAAGATGGATCCCAGAGACCCTGAAATCCATACAAAGGTGGTTTCAGTTTAAAACTTTAAGTTTAAAGTCTTTGAGGTTGTACATGGTTAACTCCTAGGATGAATTCAGTGGCTTGGAGAGTATCTTCTAGAGATACAAACCTAACTCCCAAACCACTGCCCAGCAGCCAGGGATGCCAGGGACCTCCCTTTCTTCTATTTAAAAAGCTTTAATGTCATACCCAACACTGCTGCAGCTAACCAGTTTATACCTGATTTAGGTGCCATTGCCTGGGTGGACTCAAATAGATCAAATGAATTATCACTGGCCTCAGGACATTTGGTGCCATCTATAACAAACAAAACAAGAGAGAAAATGAGCCTTACCATCATTAACACTAGAGAAAGGATGGAATTAGAACGTGGTAAAGTATATCACATGCATCCATTCATTTTAGAAACTAAATGTCACTCACACCTTCACCGCACACAATCCTGTAGCCAGGACCATGCATATTCTATTCACTCCCCGGTACCCTGTGTAGACACCAGGTAACAGAGGGGTCAGGCCCAGAGTCCTCTCTTGAAGAACCCTCCTGTCAAAACAGTAAACAGTTAACTTCATCTCAGGGTGGTCATGGATAAGAGAGCTAAGCATAGAGACAGGTGAGGGGGACCCAATGTGGGCATCCCAGAAGCTGATGCCTAAATTATCTTTTAAAATTTTTTCAGTGCCTCGAGGGAAAGAGGGTAAGAAAAGTGAAGTAGAGTATGAGTCATCATTTAGGGAGAAGATACATAATTCCTGTAGCTAAGGTCCGGATACAGGGAAGGGCATAGTAGGATGCAGGGCTTGCACCCTGAGGGCTATGTGACCCACTCAAGGTGGGAAATGTTAGGTTGAGGTCTATATTTTAGAGTGGAATAATGCACAAAACAATCCCACACCAGTTAGGTTTTAAAGGGATATTTATTTTGAGGGGGTAAAACTTACAAAACACAAACCGTTAGGAAAGGAGCCTAGTCGCTGGAGCAGGAGCTGGAACCAAGAGAGCGAGCCGAGGCTTGCCATTCTTTTTTAAAGAGAAATATACCACGCCCCAGTGGGCTGGTATTTCAGCGGCCATTGGCTGAAGGAGCGGAAGGTGCTTCAGCAGCAGTGGAAGAGCTAGCGGGGAAGCTGATACAGTAACCTGAACACGAGAGGACAGGGACCCGCAACAAGACTCGGAGGGATGCATCTGAAACACTTGACTGGAGGTCCATGAGACGTTAGACAATACATGAAGCACTCCACCCCTGAGAAGCTCCAGAACTCTTAAGCGCTTAGTGGGCAGAACAATGCTGTAGTTTGTTTTTCAAAGAAAGAGACCAGGAGACTGAAATAGCTCAGCATGCCAGTGGCAGAACAATAAGTATGTTTAGGTGCTAGAATCTCCCATGCAAGTTTCTTCCACCATGCCCCACTATGAATGTGGAGTAATGGTACTCCAGGCAAATATGCTTTAATAAGACCACCCCATCTTCTGAGATAAAACCATGCTGGGTTTTTATCCTAATAATATTATTTAACAACAAGTCATGCTACCATTTATTTTTTAAACTAGAACTCTAAACCAACAGGGAAATAGTAAGGTAACAGACAGACAATATAGTTGGTAGGAAGCCCATATGTGAGCTGCTTGCTGGTTGGTTCCAGCCCCTGCTGGGTGTGTGTGTGGCAAGTCTGCACATCTTCTGCCCTTCCCAGGTATCTCTAGCACCATACAAGTACACAAGCAAATGCAATTCAGACCCATTTGTTACCAGGAAGCTTCCTGGGACTTATGAGATGTTGAAAGCCAGAGTAAGGAAGAGATTTAGGATCTCATTTAAAGGCAACAAGCGAGTGGGGAGTCATGGTGCACACCTTGAAGATGTGCAGAGGAAGGGGGATCCCTTGAGTTCGAGGCTGGCCTGGTATATAGAGAGTTCCAAGACAGCCATGGCTATACAAAGAAATCGTCTTCCCAAAACCAAAACCAAGCAAAACAAAACCAAGGCAAAAGTTCTTGGTGAGGTGTAGGTGGGACTAAACAGCAAGACGAGACAGCACGGGCCACTGGAAGCCATAACTCTACTTCCAGAGAACCCAGTGTCTACACAGAGACTATGCAACGATGCTGAAAGGTGAGCTGAGAGCAGCCAGAGGGCATCAGTCAGAGGATCACATATCGTACTGACCCAGAGAGCTGAGCGTCCACAAAGGGAAAAGAGCCTAGTTCCTACCATGCTCGTCCAGCTGAAGTGAACATTCGGTGGCAGATGGGACCTTGACAGCCAGAGTGAGGGCCCCTTCCTGGGGCATCTTCGCTCCCTGTGACAGCTGCTCCTCCAGCCTGCTCCTCAGGGTGCTGTTAGTCTGAATGCTCCTCTCTAGCTGCTCACGGAGAGCCCTCATCTCTGTCAGGAGGCCAGGCAGTTCACTGAAAGAATCGGGCCCATTCCAGCCTTCTTTAGATGCTTCACCTTGGGCCTCTGCAGACACATGCAAAGGAAAGCCTTAACATTTCCCAAGATGAAAGGTCAGCCATCAAAGAGACTCAAGGGCATTTCAACCCATCACCACCATCCAGCCCCCTCCTAAGAACTAGGTACAATTTAAAATAACAACTCGACTTTAAAAACAAAAATATTGGCTGACTTAATTGCTGCTATTCCACAAGCTAAGTAAGAGCTGGAAATTAATTTCACTTCTGGCCATAAAAGCCTAGCAAATTGCACACCAAACCCCGAAATTATGTCTGGTAGTAATAAAATCTATTTGGACCAGAATTATAGAATGAAAGGGGTTGATTTTAAGGGCTACAGTATATTAAAAAGGCAGGCACAATAGCAAGAAAAGAGAAGCAACTTGAGAAGAAGCAAAAGCTGAGAGATGACCCTTTCTAGATAAACTTTCAATAGGGAGAAACCATCTGGAAAATTAGTTTTAGAAAACCCCCCACTGTGCCTCCAAATTGATTCTCAAATGTTAGACCTTATAGTCAGGCACTCTGATCTGCATTCTCTAGAAACAGAGCACACTAAGGCTGAAAAGCACCTAAAAGTAATGTCCGGCATGTGGCGGCACTCTGAAATATCTGCTGGATGAATGATGGGAAATCTATGACAAAGTTATTTCTTGGATGCCTACTATGTGCCAGGAATGTGGCTAAGTTGTTTCAATAAATGCCCTCATTTAACTTTCACAGCTTCACGGTGGATACTGACAGACCTGCTTATAGAGGCTATAACTGACCCAATTACTGGTGAAGTCACAACAAGCTGAGATGAAAGAAGTGAGATTTCAGACTTTAGCTTTTGGTGATATATACCTGTAAGGCTAAGGCATGAGGATTTTTTAATTTAAGGCCAGTCTGTGCTACATAAAAAAAACCCTGCGTCAAAAACAAAGAGTGGGCCAAAGAGTTTGCTTCTAAATATACCTAGTCTATCTATGGGCCAGTATGGGTTTAATGGTAGGATAGGGAAAAACAAGAGCCATGTTCTCCTACACCCAATGACAGCTTTTTGGGTAAGCTCATAGCCCTGAGATGCCTCAGACCTGGCCCTGAGCACACAGTACCTCTCTGTGGCTTCCTATGTTCCTCATCCAGCTTCTCATAAACCTTCAGCTCCACTCGGAGGGCCTGGAGCAGCTTATCGTTCTGTGAGAGCAGCTGCTGCCTTGACTTCATTTCTTCCTGTACCCTGAAATAAACCCAGCAAGGTTGAAAGAGTTAATTCTTCCTCCAGGAGGCTTATCCAGTACTCACAGAACAGGCCTAGGCCATGTCAGCCAGAGGGTGTGGACAAAATGTGCTAGGACATGCATGGTTAAGAGTTCCATCACAGCTCCCAGTTCCCACATGTCCTATGTCTCTCACTCAACAGACCTTCTCTCAAGTAACCTTTATAGACATTCTAAAGGAAGGTGTCCTCCAATTCCTGCCAAAGAAACCCAAAAGGCTATCACTTTCTAGAGGTACAGAGGTAGGGAAGATCCAGGACCTCCACTCGGGAATGTCTGATGGCACCTGGGCAGGGAGGAGGGAGGTGACTCAGACAGAAGAGACAGTCCTGTGTGTTGACACAAAGAATAAGGTGGAGTCTAAGAGGAAGAATGAGTATATGTACATCTCCCTGGCTCACTCAGATCTCTCAGTGACCTATGCTATCTGGGGCAAAACTGGAGTCTTTCGAGGGTTAGAAGCCAAAATGATTAAGCATCCACCCTCCTCCCTTCCCTCAGCTCCTACTATAGCCAAGCACAGCACCCTTTCTGGTTTGCCATAGAAACCATATAACTCTGTCTTAGGCACTATGTGCCTTCTGCCAAACATGGCCATCTCCAATAGTTTCACCTCACATGTTCACTGTGTGGCTCTCTATTCAAAGGAGTCTCTTCAGAAAGCCCTTTCTTGACCACCCTAGTGAAAATACTAGCCCCCCCAAGTATCCTCCTCCTCTTTTAGAGGACCACTCTCCACACATTTTATGCCCAGCTGACAATGCTTGTTTCTGCACACTAGGGTTGGAGTCACTGTGCCTAGTGCCACGATCACATCCTCAGGCATAGCAGGCCATAGGGGACAGCCGAGTCAAGCCCACCTGCTCAGCTCCTGGCGGCTGCTGCAGATCTCCTGGGTCAGCTGCTGATTGTGCCTCTCCTTCTCACTGATGTCTCTCTGTAACCTTTCATTTTCCTCCTTCACACTGGTGTACTCTAGCTGAAGGTGCTCAAGACTTGCAGCCTTCCTAGACAGGGACTCAAGTAATTTCTCATTCTCTTTCTGTTTATCTGCAAATACCAAAATGAGAACGGATACCTTTTGTTTTATCCAGCCTTATTACCTTGGTACGGCAGTTCAGCTGAAGCACTCCAAGAATACAGAAAAGAATGAGATTTAATCTGGCATTTATAGTTTTGGCATTCCGATTATCCTATGCATTTTAGGCAGGTAAATCTGTCAATATCAAGGCTACAGATTAAACATCACTAGAATGAAAGGGGTCTATTTAACTTCCTATTACATAATGGTTCTTGAAAATCTCTGTTACTTTGCCTTAGAGAGTATATATGATGGGTACAGCGACAGGCAGGAACCAGATATCAGTGAGTATGGAGAGCAGCAAGCCTCCTGCAGAACTCCACAGGAGGCCATGGGCTCCCCAGAGGAATAAGATACCCTTGGAGGCTCAGGAAACAATAAGGCCCCCAGCAGGGAGATGGAGGCAGAGTTCTAGTACAGCTTCTCCACTTGCTGGCTGAGACCCTAAGTGAAGCTCTTCACTCCTCAGTGCCTCAGTTTCCTCCCTTGGGCCAGACTGAGGATGCAGAGTTGCTGTCTAGACAGGCTTATTATTAGCCCAGGCCTCAGATCCATCACACGAGAGCCAAAGGAGTGGCAGTGATAGCACGCCCTAGCACTAACTGTGCGGGCACTACAGCAAGCCTCTCATGTTTCAATGTCCTGTGTCTTTGCAGCAGACTGCCACGGCAGGCCCTGGCAATTTCCCCATCTTCCAGATGAGAAACAAATGAGAGACAGGTTAGGCTTCCCTGCAGCCATATAGACAGGAAGGGGCACAGCCTTGGATGTAGATCTACAATTAACCAGGATTCAAGTATTTCCATGTACGCGAGGGCTCCTGCTGGTCCATGTGACATCAGCACAGCTGCATCACTCCTAACTGGTGCACACTCTCCATCTCTAACCTGGGCCTCGCCTCTTCTCCTACTCTGACCCTCAGACACCTTGAATAAGCATCCCTTTCCTTTGTAGACTTGGCTCCTGAGGACTTGAGCTGAAGGGCCTGCCTTTTATCACAGCAGGCCTCACTCCTTGCTATAGGTTTGCCCATTCTAATGCAAATACTGTATTTTTATTTCTGTATCGGTCTACCAAGCTCCCCTGTAGGTCAGGATAGAGAAAAGTTATTGAATGAATGCATGAACTGTATGAGCCCCAGTTTTGACTCTTAAGGCAAAATCAGAATCCATATCCCCCCAGGACTGTGGGATAAGCTGGCCTACATTCTAGCTCTAGCACCTCTAGCTCAGTGACCACATCAGGGCAATTGCTTAGGCTGTGAATTCTTACTTGAGAAACAGGGCTAATAATTCTTCACTCTAGAATCATTATAAATATGAACAGTAACATCAGTAAAAGCTCGTTGGCAGCTAAGCTCCAAGAGAAGGAATTAAGGATCTTTATAAGGAATGCTGGATAAACTTCGCTGGTAGGAGAAAATCTCCAGGAAAGATTTGGCAGTAATAAATTTCCAGTGATTCTCTCTTCCTAGAATGGGATGAGAAAATACAGCAATATATATTGAGACCCAGGTAGAGACTCTGCTCTGGGGTTTTTTGTTTTTTTTTCCTCCTTTCTTTTTTGGTTTTTTGAGACAGGGTTTCTCTGTAACTTTGGAGCCTGTCCTGGAACTAACTCTTGTAGACCAGGCTGGCCTCGAACTCACAGAGATCCGACTGCCTCTGCCTCCCGAGTGCTGGGATCAAAGGTGGGCACCATCACAGCCCAGCTGCTCTGGGGGCTTTTTACTCTAGCTGTCACAGCAGGTAGGTGTGGCGGTTTGTAACCCACCTGTGCCCTCGTTGTCTTAGCTATAAAACAACGAATGCTCCACAGGACTGGTGTGCAGTTCAAGGTAGAAAACTGTCAGGTCCGCCCCTTTGGAATCTAGAGTGTCAGCTCTAGATGTCTTTTGACAAAGGGTTTTGGAATTTAGGCTGCAGGTGGCCCCTGATTTCTTACCTCTGGCCCCTTTCTCGAGCATCATACTGAGGGCCTGGTTCTGCTTCCTCAGGAAATGTATCTCTGATGTCAGAGAGCTGTGCAGCTCTGAGCCATAAGCAGAAACATTTGTGGAACCTATAAGAACACACATGAATGGTGACTTATAGACAGCCTCCAGGCAGGATGGGTAAATCTTTCTAGGAAATATGCCGAGACAATGAAGAAATATAGCATGCAATGAAAACCAGCCCACGAACCATGTAACACACAGCCAGGGTCTAAAGGGCAAGGACAGTGAGCTTAAAAGGGAGGCAAGAGGAGGCTTCTATATCACCATGCCCTGAAGATGAACAAAGATGAGAGCTCAACCACAGCAAGGTGAAAGATGATAGCAGCAACCATCATGCTCAACTGACTCTTAGGCCTTGGGCCTTGTCTCTGAGGCAGCTCGGTCTGACTCTGCCCCCTCTGGTCTTTCTTACCCTTTCCCTGTCTGAGAAGGCCCACTCCAATTCCTGACCTAGGCTTGCATGAGGGAATATCCTAAATTCCCCTTTGTCGTCCTGTCCAAGCAGGCAAATACAGCTGCCGATTCTTCCCCAGAATGCTCAGACTACGGCACATTTTCTTCTATGCTTCAGGCCTTAAGCACCTCGTCTAGCTTCATTCCCTGCTGTTTTACCAACGATGTTATCATCTCGAAATAGCACCTCTCACTACTATTTCATGTTGAAAAATGTCTGGTGGTCTACAGTACAAACAATAAACTTCTCTGCGTCGAATTCAAGCCCCTCCATTGCTCTGCTCCCGTGCCACAACAGACACCATTCTCTCTCCATTCAGACCCCAGGCCCAGAAAATGCTGATAACCAGGCGACTTTTGTGCTCTTCACACCCACTTCCCCTGTCAAAACTATACTCTATTAATTACTGGGTTAATTCCCGTTCTAAAAGTGTATACTGTGGAGACTGGGATCTAGAATTAGATGGGAGGGGGCACCTTATGTCATTCAACCTAGGGCATGCCTCATGCTGGGCACTTCCTTGGCCTCCCAAGCTCAGCACAGCTTTCTTGTCTGCAGCTATTATTGGGGTGCTCCATTCACAGCCGGGCTCGAGCACTTGGAGGGTGCCCAGCGTCTTCTCCGTGTGGCAGGCAGATGCTTCCCTCCTGGCTTCTGAACTGATTCAGTTCACTTACTACACCACAACCAAAATGCCACAACCCTGTGCTCCCAGACACCAGATGAGGACATGGGCAGGGGTCTCTGGCAACCAGTGAGACCTATGTGAAATCTGCTGAGGCTTCAAGGAGATGGTGCACTAGAGAAGAGAGAAGCTCCAGACTCTCCCTTCCCTTGCCTTGAACACTGACCTAGGAGGATGGGACACTGATAGCAAATAGTCAGCATGGAAGGAAGTCAGCCTAACCTTGACTCAGAGCTCTCTGCCACTGGGGTTCTTGTGATCCATGGAGGTATAAAAATCAGCCCTTGTTTCTACTGCTTGCTTCTCACATTTCTTCCCAGCTTCCTGCAGCTGAAAGCACTGAATATGCACATAAGTGCCTATGGTGTGCATCCACACACCCTTCTAAATGAGCTGTGGCATGCTCTCCTGGAAATATTCTTCCCACTCTACAGAACTTCTTCTCTGGCACGTGAATCATACAAAATTAAATCACATTAATTTTTATTCACAAATGTCTCTTTCCACCATCTTGCCCTACTTGTCCCAGTGAACTCTGGGATCATTTCAGAGTTCCTGCCTATGTCCTGCTTAACAGCTGCAAGGCATTGGGCAAGTTGCCTCCCTCTCTGCCAAGCCTTGGTTAGCACAATAAAAACACCCATGCTGCTGTACTGTGGTTCTCATCTGTGTTTCTAGAAGAACAGAGAGTGAGGCCACAAGAGAACCACAGATTCATCAGATCAAGTAGCAGAAATCCCAACATCGAAACTGATCGATGGCAGTGAATTACATGAAAAAAAAAATAAGAGGCCATAAAACATTCCTGATTCACTAAACCTAACTAGGCCCAACTGCCCTAATGAAGACACCTGGATGCCATGCGGCAAGACTTTGCTTTGAGTACTACCTCTGCGGTCAGACCAGACAACGGGCTAGAGCGAGAGCCTCTAAGGCATAAGAGTTTTTGGCATTCCCCCTTGAAATCGGACAGAGTCCTGCCTTTTCAGAGTGATCCCCAAGATGAACATTCACATAAGGGGGAGGGAGGACTGCTTTCTGTTTTGTCTTTCCAGAAACTGTGACAATAAGGCAAGAACAGCACATCTCTCCACGAGAGTGAAGATTTTATGAGTGCCTTTCTGTAAACGTCCCTTTCAGAGGAATTATTCTACAACTGGGCTCCGCTGTAGTTGGTGGCCATTTGAACCCCCAAATAATTCCATAATTGGATTTGCTGGGGAAAATGTAAAACATAATGAAACTAACTCAGGCATTACCAAGAGTGAACATCAAGGGCCCGGGCATGAATTTCTTTCCTGCGCTTGACACAACTAATAACTCAAATTAATCAAATTTCCTAGGGGTGAGGGAGGAGGATGAAAGATGCATGGGATGAATGGAAGCCCAGACAGAAGATTGGGAGCTTCCTGCAAACCACAGCGGAAACCGAAGCATACACAGAACTCCCAGAACCAGCCTTATGTGCAGATTACAGAGCAATGAAAAATGGGCTAGGGTCCAAGTCTTGAGTTTTACCAATGAGTCCTACATTTCTAGGACTCAGTGATCTCATCTCTAAAATGGTGTCAACGGCAGAGCATGGAAAGACTGAAAGTTAAACTGGCCGTGTTACATAAAATAGTAAAATAAAACCAACAGTGACAAAAGCAACTATTTATTGAGTGAGCACTGAGCAAGGCCTTGTTCATGACACTGCCTCATTTACTAGCAGAAAAACCATGTTTCATGAAACAACTAGGACTAGAGTGAACTGCTCAAAGTCAACACCGATCAACAGAAGAGCTACAGCCATACCCAGGGCAACCCAACCAACTTCAACAATACAATGACTACAGAGGACACCAAGAAAACAGAGGAAGAAAGAAGGGAGGGAAAGGTTAACAGTTACAGTGAGCAACAGCTGGTTTCGAACCATGTGAAGAAGTGTCTTTCAGGTGTTCAGTTTTAAAGGAAGACCATTCCCTTCAAAGCAAAGTCAGGTGGGGTGAGAATAGTCCTGGCCTTCTTTGGCATGAAAGATTTGCCAGATGTCAATTTATGGTCTATTATTATTATTATTATCATTGTTGTTGTTGTTGTTTTGACACGGGGTTTCTCTTTAGTCTTGGAGCCTGTCCTGGAACTAGCTCTTGTAGACCAGGCTGGTCTCGAACTCACAGAGATCCAACTGCCTCTGTCTCTCATGTGCTGGAATTAAAGGTATGCGTCACCACTACCCAGCTTATAGTCTACTATTGATAAAAAGGAAAAATACAGCTCTATTCTATTTTAGAATCCCAATCCATACATTGGGATTCAATCCATATAGATGAATCCCAGTTCATCTATAGTGAGAACACGGTTACAGCTCAGGACCCCAGAGGCTAGCCAATTTCACCACCCAGTCTGATTCACAGAGAGCCTCTTCAGGCAAACATATCACAGAGCAGCAACCCACCAAACCCCATTTCTTACCCTGGGAAAGTCCTTCCTTACCTTGGTCAGTCTCAGACCTCTGATGTTCCAGCTGTTTTCGGAGCTTCTCATTTGTTTTAATAAATTCTTCCAAATGCTTTCTCAAAGTTCGAATTTCCTGTATGTGTTCCATTAGTAAGTCTACAGGAAGGAAGAACATTTTAAATCTAAAGTCTGAAGCCCCCAACAAATTGAATAATTGGTAGATTATGCACAGATCTTGAAATTTCAAGAGCACTGGATGTATTGAGATAGTCAGCAGCTGGCGATTCTTTCCCAGGTTTGGGGGAGGCCAAGCTATTTCCCACAGTCCATAGTCATGGCTCATTAATGGCTCTCTGCAGCCATCCATGAGGAAGTAACTTTACATCACACACAAAAATTATACTCCATACAATTTTAATGCTAACTCTAATGCAGCCTTTTATTCTTCTCAATATCAAATATTAATTTAAAAATCTTCCTTATGGTGAAACTAACAGATCACTTTCAAGTTAGCCTGAACTGCCTGAGAGTTGATTAAATTACCTTCCTAATGAAACCAGATAATTTTCTAGGCTAGTTTTCTTTTTTTTTTTTTCCTGCAATGAGTATGTTATCCCTTTATCATTCATTAACTTCAAGACTTAAAACAATGCTAGTGAGAGAGGTAATAAAAGGTATGTTTTTGAGATCACTGCTGTGTGAGTATAAATGCGTATGACTCTCTGGGGCTATTGATATCACTGGTTTTAGGAAAGTTCTCCAGTGTCGGTTCCCAAATAGTTCTACTTCCAGGACTCTATTTAAGGAGCTCATGTGAAATGCTCACAGGCACTTTCCAGAATGCATGAAAATACTCATCTGAGTTTACAAGTGACAGGAAACTGAAACAGCTCAAATTGTTCATTGAGCCAAGGTCCATTCACTATGCTGAGGGATTACACAGCTATTAAATTATGCAATGAAAACTATAAATATGGAAAATGTGTTATGTTATGGCAAATTTCAAAAGATATAAAATTGGTTATAACATAATCCCAACTCTATATAAGAACATACAGGTAGTATAAACAAATAAACCAAAGAAGCAATTACAATGAAATATTAATTGCAGTTACCTCAAGGTGATAGATTTCATGTTTTTAAAAACCTCCATTTGACATTTTAATATATCACTTAACAAATACTTAATTTTCCAAATATCCTAGGATAAGTATGTATTAATTTTTTTACCTTCTGCCACATCTCACTTCAACAGAGAAAAAAGAAATAGTTTCACTCTAGAGGTGGATTCTCAGAGTCAGTGTTTAAAACATAATCACATTAAATATCCAAAGGCAAAACTAATGTCTTTAATTCATCAATTAGGGTACACTCAGTATGTCTTAGTAATGTTTGTTTTAAAACATTATACTAATGTTATGACCCAGTTTTAATTCCTCCAAAATGGCTTTCATTTAAAAGTAGCACAATGTTACAGATCTTTTCCTAATTAAATAGTAATTTTGCCATGAATTTGAATGTTTATGAGATGACTTAATTCCCAGACCTTCAGCTATCTCCTATTAATGCCAGAAGTGCGGCAAGTCATTTAGTGGAATGTCTGCCTCCCGCTGCAGCACGGCGGGAAAGGCTGTCTGTGCACATTTGTGGTGTGCCCAGCACTGGTCCTCCCGGCCCAGCCTCGAGGTCCTGCCAACCTTCTTCCAGAAGTCCGTCAGCCCAGAGTCAGTCAGCTCACTGGTTTGAACTGCCACCTTCCTTGCTGGTTTTTTGAGTCACACACTGCTGACTGTGGAGTGATGATGCTCCACACAAGCCATCTTTCAGAGTGAGAATTATCACATGGGCTGAAGGAAACACCCCCAGGGGAATTAGACACCATGTATTAATTATGCAGCCATCCTGAGGAGAACGAAATACTATAGCACCTTTTCCAAAATGGGAGAAAAGGATCCTCCAGTCTTATAGTAAACTCTTCTAATAAGTCCTAACTTGCAAAAACCATAAATCCTATAAAATCTGCCATACACAGAAAAGAGAAAAAATGTGTGTCTTCTGCTGGGTAGTTCCAAATTTAGAGAATCTATATTAAGAAAATGCCCTCAAAGAGGAAGGCTTTGTGTTCAAGACTCCCCTGCAGCACTGTTTACAATTGTGAGAAAGTGCTGAGCTCCAGGAACAGAAGGAAAACTGCAGTTCAGCCATCAAAGGGCTGTTCCAAAGCCACTAAAAGTGACATTATCTGACAACATGTCAGAAAGTCTATGAAAGAATGGTAAGTGAGCAAAGAAAAAAAGTGCCAAATTATCTCTCTATACAGATTACAAACGTGACAAAAGGAAAAACAGATGCAGAGAAGAAAAAGCTGAAGAGAAATAAAAAAAAAAAAGCAAACAGTGGCTGTATTTCAATGGCTCCAGAGCACTGGGCCCCCACTCAAGAAAAGGGCTAGTGCTACAATCAGGGCGCAGGCAGCCCAGACATATCCCTGCTGAACAAAGACAAGAGATGGGCCTGAACCTCTTTGAGATTTGGAAAAAATAAATTTTTATCTATATTTATTTTAACCTTTATCTCTTATATAAAAAATACAGTGATAGGCAGAAGAGAGCTGTGCCTAAGACCACATAGAGAAAATGGGATCACATTTCCTCTGAATGATCCATTCACGCTGCTCCTCCACCCATGTGATCAGACCTCATGTAGTGGTTTCAGTATCCTGGAGAGGGGCTGTGTTACACTGGACTAAGTGCAAAAGTGGGGTGCACTAAGGACAGGGAAATGATTTATAGTCTAACCTAAAGTAGATGAGGGCAAAACCCACAACCAGAAGTGATGGAAAAATCAAGTACTCACAAAAATCTCTAAGGTATACCACCAGAAACCCCAGGAAATAAGGTTCAGGTGACTGGCCACTGGAAGATTTGGTTGGTTCCTCAGTTATACCAAGAATGTGCATGCCATATTCTAGGTATGTCTAAGATGTAAGACCTGAGTGGCCAGAGGAGCCTCAGAGGACACCATGGGGCAAAGACTTGGCTCTAGTATCATTGACATATTGCTTGACTTCTCCATCTAAAAGAAATCTAGTTGTTTAAACCAAACACTTCAAATACTTTTGAAAGCAATGGCTTATGCCATTTAGTATTAACAAAAGGTTTTAGCAAGGAGTACTAGTGTTCAGTGTGTTACAGAATCCACTGCGGTGACTTAGAAAAAACCCAATGGAATAAGCAAGAGATCAGAGACCACCAAGAGAGGTACAGAGTTTACACATATCAAAGGCCTGACACATGGGCCGTGCGCCACACCTTGCCTTCTTGTGAATGAGCTCATGTGGACCATGCACATTACCTATAGCTACTTTGTGCTTTAGAGCAGTGCTGTGCAACTCTAAGAGGACATACCCTGCACAACATCCGATACTTGCTATCTGCTCCTTGGGTGGAAAAGTTTGCTAAGCACAAGTCCATCTGGCTTGCCTCTATAGTACTTTGGATCTCTGAAACATACTGAATGACAAACAGTAAATCCAACTTCTACTCCAAGACAAGAAATGAAGGCTGCAAGCGGAAAGAAGAATGGGGAAGGTCCCTGGGAAGCTGATTTGGCCAGTTTAGTTCACACCCAGCAACAGAACAAGGCAGAACATCTGTGCTCTGAAATTCCCATGCTGAAATTCCCATGCTGAAGCCCTTAGCACAGGTGTGATGGTGTTAGGGAGTAAAGCCCCTGGAAGAAATTAGGTCATAAGGATGCAATGCCTGTGAATTAATGTTCTTGTTAAGGATCTCCCCTGACCTTTCTTCCTCTATGTCAGAATTCAAGTGGGAAGAGGATGCTCACAGAACTCAACTACACTGCCTGTAAGGCACACTAACCTCTGCTTTCCGCACACCAGAATTGTGAGAGATAGATTTGTGCTGTCTGCAGTTCCCTGTATTCAGCTGCAGCAGCGTGAGTAGACCAAATTAAAGGGCCTGATGCCATGGCCAAGAGTCATCCCTTAAGGGACCTGCTTCAGGATGTGCAGAAACTAAAGGACAACTAACAACAGTGACATATCCCCAGGGCTTTCTTCCCACCCTTTGAAAAGAGCAGATCACCCGAGTCATCATTTAAAAAGAAACCAAGACTTCCTCACTGCTAGCACACTGTAACATCATGGCTCCTTCCGCTGATAAATCACCCTCCATGAGCAGCCCTGGTTCTCCCTCCATTGGTGAAATGGTCAGACGTAAACCCACTCTGCTCATCAAAACAAGACAGCATGGTTATGCCTAAGGTGCTTAGCGAAGCTTAGCTCACCTTGAGAAAAATGGTTCTCCATAGCCAGGAACTTCCCAGTCTTGTGGTCTGCCTTCTGGTCTAGAGACAGGGAGGATTTATCAGACATCTCATCATCTGACAGTGCGTGAGAGGCAGAAGGCTCGGCAGAGTCAGGCAGGAGATGATGATGGGTTAAGTTGTCTTCCTCAGTTCTCAACCTTCAAGATCAAAAGAAAAATATCCAAATACAACCTCCTGAGATCATCTAGTGAAGATTGGATTCATAAATGTATATATGTATGTATATACATATATATGTGATAATTATAATCAAAGAGTAAGAGTCCATGAATTTGAGAAGAAAGGGGGATGGGAGGAGCTGAAGGGAAGAAGCAATAATATAAAAACAATACTCATAAGATATTCTCAAAAATGAATAAAAAGAAATTAATTCTTAAAATTTTAAAAAGAAATGTCACTTCCCACACCATGATCCCAAGCTGGACCATGTGTTTAAACACTTAGGGAAAACTTTCTCTTTGTGACTGACCATCCATACAACCTCAGTCACTCCTTTTGTTTCCTTATAACACTAAGCAGTCAAATTCTGAAAACCGAAGGGCCTCCATGGGCTTAAGTCTGGAATCAAGGAAGAAAAGGAAGGGTAGAGACTGCTCTTGTCCAACAGTGTGATTTACAGGGCAGCAGCCTGCGACAGAGCATGATTCAGGGGCACCTGTTCACAAAGTGCTGTTCTGTCCCAGGGTTCTGGATCTTTATTTGTCCTCACGGACACCCTCTGAGGAAGGAAGCACTATTGTCCTTTACAATCGAGGAAGTCAAGGTGCATCATGAGCCAGGTGCTGTCTTGGTTCATAAGTGGCACCACTCAGATTAGACCTATGCGTATCTGGTCCCACAGCCCCAGGAGAATGTGGGAGTCCATCCCAAAGTCACAGGATTGTCTTAGACCTAAAAATCTCAAAGATTTCTTGACCCCTTGGCAGGTTTCTATATTATCATCTGGTTAGTAACCTGGATTTGCAAGGACCACCTAAGCCACAAGAACAAACCAGCTGAATGCTGTGAAAAGCCAACGTGAATCTCCGTTGTAGATAAGCTCCTTAATTGAAGCTCTTTGTACTCCCCTTTTTCCCTATTACTTCTCGTCAGTGGCCAGTCTCTTTATTCATGTACTTAGACAAGAGCAAAGGACTCCGAAAGCCGCAGTGCATCCATTAACAGGTAAACACCGGGTGCAGCTGAGCCCAGACAGTGTGATGGATGCTAGGCTTGCTGCTGCCTTCCAAACGTAGAGTGAGGGCCAAGAGTACCCATTTCACTAGCGCAGGAGTGACCTGTGAGTGCTGAGCCTACAACTGAAAATAGCGGAGCAGAAGGAAGAGCAGCAAACTCAAGAGATGGAAAGGAGAAACACCTGGTTGAAGAGGACAGAAATATGTTCCTTGCCTCCCTCCCACTTAGTATCTGGACATACTCGGTCTTCCAGAACAGCAAGTCTGAAAAGCCTCATCCTTTCTTTCTCCACTTTAAAGACCCCCAGTAGTCCGATAGGAGAGCGTTGGGCTGAGAATCCTAAAAACAGTTTCTATGGACCACCCAGTGGGCCTGGTTTGCCCCTGAAGCCATGTCTCCTTTATATCAGTCATAGACATAGTCCAGGGAGGTCCCAGTACCATCACTTTGATTCTTTAGATCCTAAGACTAGTTGGGACCAGCCCCACTCAAAGGCCTCCCTTTCCCTCTCCATAGCTGCCAGCAGGATGTGGAATAAGGATGGAGGCGTGGGTTCGACTAGAAGGGGACTGTGGTGACACTGCAGAGGGAAGAGTGTTTCTTTTATGACCACAGTCACCTTGATAACAACATTCTCCAGAGAGGTAGGGCACCTCCCTGCCTACTCTGGAATGATGCTGATGGCCTCTGTGAAGTCAATGAAATTTACATTTCTACATCCCAGACTATCCATTTCTTCATTTCACTCCAAGAACCCCCAAGCCACAGACATCAAAGAAGGTACTCCACAGCATATGGAGCATAAGTGGGCAAGCCCTCAGCACAGCCAGTTGGCTGAAGAAGTAAACAAAGAAAGCATATAATCCATGCTTTCATTCTTGTTCTCAAACGACAGCACAGAAAAACTGGTGCTGGAGCGCGGCAGACTGGAGTTCCAGTTCCAGCTCTGCCACTCAATGAAGGTGCACAGCTCTGAACCACAAGTTCCTCGTCCTGAAGTGTGGATGAAAATGCTTGAATCGTGGCGTCAGAAGCAACAAGGATGAAACCCTGTCAGTGTTAGACAATGTTGTTCTCCTTGGAGAGGAGTGAGCCAAATGGGAATGTAGCACACACCACATGGTTAAGTGCTTCATGGAACTATGTCAAGTGCTATGGCAAGAATAGCCGATGCTGGAACAGAAAGACACAGGGTGTTGGCAAAGGCCATGGTCATTTCTGTTCCAGCTGCCTCTGAGGAATGGCTTTCCTACTGCTCAAGAAAGGCGACAGAGTACACAGCTATGTAGAGTGGTTCAGGAGAATAAGGAGCCAGGTAAGGAGGCATGGGGCAGACGGTAGGAGGTGGAGGGAGGGAAGGAAAACAAATAAGCTGGCACATGCTCCAGTGCCAGGCTTAGTACAGTGGGACCCTCGGGTTCCTACAGGAAGATCTGCTGCAGTTACTGACAGAAACACCACAAGTCACCTGAGCCCAGTGTGTGCAGCTGCAGGACTCACAGTGGTGGACTTTGGTTGCTGTGCAGTCACTGGTGCTTCTATGGGTGCTGGTGCCTTATTTACAAAAAACACAAAGTTGCAGAAAAAAAGGGAACATTAAATTTTAAAAACCGACAGGCAAATCAAAGCTGGCAACTCCTGGAGTTTCCTTAAGGAGCAGCACGCACTCACCTCTCCTGCAGTTCCCTCTGGGGACGCGGTTCCGCTCCGGCCGATGCTCCTAGGAGCACAGAGAACATTCGAAGATGAAAAGAGCTTTTAACAACTGTTCATCGATACTACCTTGTTCATATATTTGCAGAGCCAAGGATCCATCTTAAAGCTCCTGACCACAGACCTTGGAGTGGGGTGCACAGTTCATATACACTAATTCAGGAACTCGTTCTAGCTGATAGGAAGGAATCTAGAAAGCAGCCACCATGGTGGTCTCTGGATGCAGCTCTTTCCTATGTCTAAAACACAGACAACAGCAGGGTCTAGTGGCAAAGGCCTGTCATCCTATTCAAGTGGCTGAAGATCATAAAATCAAGCCAACTTCTGGGGGTATAGAGACAGCTTAGTTGGTAAAGTACCTACTACACAACCATGTTGTTTTCTTTTCTTTTTTTTTAGATGTGGTAGCTTGGGCCTAGAATTGCAGCACTGGAGAGGAAGAAACAAAAGGTGCCCAGGACTATCAGGCCAGGCAGTAAAGAAAAGAACAGTGTTTCCAAGATGAATGAGAGACCCTGTCTCAAAAAATGAAAAAAACAATTAAGGAAGACGTGTGAATCAATCTCTGCCCTTCACTCCAGCAGTCCCCATCTTCCACACACACACATATATACATGCCTGCACAAACACTTGAACACACACATGTATATACGCAGATACAAAATAAAAGGAGGGCTGGGCTAGAGACACAGTTAGTGGTACAGTATAGCACATGTGAAATCCTGGGTTCCAGTCCCAGAACCACAGAACACAACACAAAATCCTCTGGCACTAGTGGAATATGTGCTCACCGTGAGCAATGGGTAACAGAATCATAAAGCCATCCTCTTCCCACCCTATCTACACGCACGATCCCGAACCTCCCACCCTCCCTCTGCAGGCACGATCCAAACTGTCTTCTGTTCTCCCTTTTATGCACATGGGAAGAGGATGTTGACTTCAGTTTTTCACATCACACTTTATGACTAGCATTTCTTTTATGAAGTTTGTTTCAGAAACCTCCACTGTGAAGACTATGCTAACATTCTATTGGCAGGCACACATGGATTGGATCTTGTAGTTCCCTGTTGGGTATTTAGGTCACCTCCAAATTTTCATTTTAGTAAATAAGTGAGACAAATATATGTGCATATGGCTTTATCTGCATTTAAATTATTTCCCTAGGAAAGGCTCTCAGAACTGGGATTAGTGGGGAAAGCAGTATTGGAGTGCAGCTGAAGAGGCCACTGTTGACAGCAGGGGAAGCAACTAACAGAAATGACAAAAGAAAACAAAAATAAAGCGCAGGATGCTGTGGGGGAAAGATGCTGTGCTCTGTTCCCAAGTGTCATCATTTGAAAGGATGCAGGACCTAGGTTTCAAAGCAACTAACAACTTTATTTTAAAAATACTTCAAAACTCTGGAAATTGCAGACCAGGATGAGCTCTTTGAAGAAACTGATGCATGGCTAAAGAAAAAAGGAAAAAAGCCCTTCTATTGCTGCCTTGAAAAATGAGACTATAATTAGCCTGCACCTACAGCGCTCTAAACTCCCAAAAGGAAAAGTCCCCAAACATCACTGGTAAGGAAAAGGGCACCAGAGCAAGCATATTTGCTTTATGTCTTGTGATTCAGCTTACGATTATCACAGGGAGGCCTGTATGGCAGCCAGGCTCCCTCTCCATCCCAGCAGGTCACCATATACTTGACACTGTACAGCACTGCCACCCACAGTGAGGAGGCAGCAGCCCTGAATACAGTTCCTTTCCATGCACTCTCTGTCTCAGGTCTTCCTAAAACCCCAGAGTGTCAGCACTTCCCTCCACTCTACAGCAGACGTGCAAGCCCAAGGTCCAGGCTCCACTCTCACTTGACTGCACTTCAGTAAGGGGCAGGGTCATGGCAGGTGCAGATCTACGCATGGACCTTGCTGGCTATATCTTTCCCATACTAGCGTGATGCTGTGGCTTCCACAAGGCAAACAGAGGCTGGCAGTTCCCCAGCCTGATAGATGCTCTCAAGTCTGCAGTCCCTATGTCTGCCTTCTGTACTCCTCCTCAAAAAGGGACCAGAGCTCAAAGTTCTGAAGGACAATTTATAATGGGCAGGACACTTATCTTCTCTGAAAGAACAGTCTAATTAACACTGGGGCTGTTCACCAACCTTCAGGTAATGAAAAGCCTCTGATCTCACAGGCCACCATTTAGGCCAGCACTGCCAACAGTCAGAAGCTGTACAAGTACTGCCAGGCATAGAGAAGGTGGTGCTGCTGTATGGGCATCACTGTGAACTTAGCATGTCCTTCGTGCACAGGATAGGAGCCTTTGGTCTGGGATAACTTCAAGCATCCTGACCACAAGCCCATCTTAAAACCCTCAAAGACCTGGCCTCCATGTGCACGGTAGGAAGTGCTCCAATGACACCATCAGATTGAGTTTGTGAAATAAAAGATCTTTTGGAGAGCTTGTATTACACCTGTTCTGTCATCACAATAGGGTCCTTTTAAAGCGAAGTGGCAAACGGCCATCGTTGTGGGATTGATGAAGGGATCATAACAACTGATAAACTGAGTTTCTTGGTAGAAACTGCCTCCACACAGGTGGCAGGACACCATCTGTCAGATATTGTAGGAGCTTGGCATGCATGCCATGAAAACACTGCTCCCACTTCTCTGGCAAACCTAAGAGCTGTGAGCTCGCACAGTGAGGGAGTGTCATCTTTGTAACACAGAAATCAAGAAAAAGCAAAAACCAAAAGCTAGCTTTCGCTTCCTTGTGTGACAAGCAAGAGGATCACAGTGCAGAAGTTGACTTGTGAAAGGCTGACCCAGCCTGTCCCCTGTTGTTCTCAGAAGCCTCTTTGGGCACTCAGACTCCATCTGTCCCACACACTCAATACCTGGCATCTCCAATCCAACTCCATGCTTCTTCCTTCCTGTCTACCATGGCTCCTCCCAGAAGCCTGACACAGAGGGTACACAAGGATGGCTTCAGAGTTGTCCTGTCTGCCTTTGGTGAGTTCACTTTCAAGGAGGGGCAGCATGGTGGTGGTGGGAGGACCCCAGAGAAGATAAGCATAGTCCATCCTCAGCTGGGGGTGGGGGGATTAGAAAAGGAGCGATGGAGGGGGCTTTGCCTCTCATTCTTTTTTACAAAAAGTAACAAAGTTTGCTGTTGTTGTTCATTTGTTTAAGGCAGGATCTATGTATTCCAGGCTGACCACAAACCCACAATCCTCTTTCCTCATCTCCGCTTGGGAGATAAACCTGTACCACCATGCCAGGCTTCTGGGTTATATTTTTGGAGCAAGAACGAATTTAAATGGAGAAAGTGATTCCATGGCGACAGGAGTCAGAATCCTTTGTCTGACAGCCTGGGCCAGTGATGCAACCAAAACTTTCTTGTAATCACTACTGTCACCTCCCAAACGCAAACTGTCTCCAAGGGCAACAGGAAGCACTTTAAATACCTCACTTAATTCTTACAAACAGCTCTGTGAAGGTAGGTGTTGCTACCCCCATAGAGGATATCTGACTCTTAAAGGCTAGTGACCCATATACCAGGATATTAGTTCCAATCTCTGATTCCCTGGAATATTCCTGCGATAGCCTCCATCACAGAGTCAGACTGTCATGTATGAGTTGCAGATAACCCAGAGTGAAGAACAGGAAGCAGCTCTCTGTCTTACTTGGGGTGAACAAAGAACGCCTTCCGTAGAGAGTGAGTGCAGCCTGTGTAGAAAGGCACTGGTTTGAACAGTCACAGAAGGGGAAATGCAATGTCCAAGCAACAGGAACACTTGGTCCGTGCACCCAGACTAACAGCAACGTGAGTGGGACACATCTATCCCAGTGGTTAGAACAGCTGTGAAATCAAACCCGCAGTTCAGATTCTGCCCCCTCCTATGTGACCTACTGCTGGGAAATGAGGAGAATGCATTTTCTTCTGGACTGAGAGTACAGAGCAAACACAGAATGAAAACTGTCTGCATCTCCTCGGTGTTTTCTCCACCAGTGAGACTATGGAAAGTCTTGAAAAGAAACAACAAAGAGTGTCAAGGCAAAGGCTCCACAGAAACAGTGGCTAGAGCCTGGCACCAACGCCGAGTTCATTAAGGGCTCCCCATCATCTCTGCACCCAATCCAGTACTTTGCTCAATTATATTGGGAGAGAACAAACTGTCTTCTTCATCTATGCAGCTTGTCTTTGGAGACAACATGAAGAGGTTACACTGGGAAACCTGACTACAACTCTAGCTCCTGATCGACTCTGGGTCCTGGCCCTGTGAAGAAGCTGAAAGCTACTGACCCTCACCCCCAGAAAAATGCACACTCCAAAGCATCTTGTCAAGTTCAAGACCCCTCATGGGATCCTTAGTTCCCAGCTTGGCCCTTAGCAAGCATCAAGAAAGTACACTACTTCTCACTCTGCTTCTTAGGCTCTGTCAACCAAATGTTGTTGCAAAAATAGTGAGGATGCACTGAGATTCCAAATCAGTGTTCTTTATAGCAGTCCCCAAATGGACACATCCTAAATGTCCATCCCCTAGGATTCATCAAATATGGCAAAAAACATTTATGTAGAAGGATGTTCTATAGTCAGTAAAGCTTAATGTGTGTTATCTGTCGCTGAGCAAAGGGAGAGGTTGCCAAGAGTCCTGTTGCCATAAAAGATACACATGTTCTAAAAGGGTCCAGGGACAGAAACGTGAAGCTGTCCATGCATGGCTGTGGAAATGATACAATCAGAGAAGGATCTGTCTGGCATTCCATAGTAAACATGCTTGGTATTGTTTCTTAAAGTCTATACTTAAATGTTTAAGTACTTGTGCCACACACTGCCATTGTAAACCTGGTTCATAATTCAAGAGCAGGACTTCTTACATGGCATTCAAGAAAGATCTGTCTCTGGGTCTCTTTTTCTTCCCTATGAAGGGAGCTGCCGTGAGGATCCTGTGACCTTTACACCTTGAAGAAGAAAATGAACTTCTACACTTGAGCTATCTGCTAGCCTGAATTTCTCTTGCCTCCAGAACCCACCAAAAACAACAAGTGGGATCTCCAGTGTTTGTCAAACTCTGGGTGAGAGAGAAGACCTTGAGACTAGCTGAAGAGGGAACGCACCTAGTGCCAGAGGCACTCTCCCCCTTACCTCCCTGGCCAGGACCAGTGCCAGGGCTGTCAGAAGAGAAGACAAGAACATTGAGAGCACGGGCAATCTAGCTTTATCTGTCAGCCACCCAGCTACTTCTGCACCAGTAAGGTAAAAGCAAGCTTATTTATTCAGAACATATGAGCCAGAAGATAGCAGACTAAAACTGCATTCTACTGTTCCTAAACCCTGATCCTCAAAGCTCTTAGGAGCAAATGCCAGAAAGTTAGTCTATGACATGAAGCATGATTAATAAAACCTCAGAGACAGATATTGGGGTTCAACCTGAAGACCAGAAAAGCAAAGCAGTCAGCTACCTGCTTTTACCTTGACATCAGTCTGAAAATGTTGATCCTGCCTCCAGGAAACCTCAAAATGAGATTGAGACTGAGAGTTGTCTCCTCCTATTTTATAATCCTCTCTAGTTCTGGGATTAAGGGAGTGCACTGCTACTGCCTGGTTTCTATGGCAAACTAGTGTGACTACTGGGATTAAGGGTGTGTGTCATTGCTGCCTGGTCTGTAAGGCTGCACAGTGTGGTTGTTTTACTTTTCTGATCCTCATGCAAGCTTGAAATGCCACTACAATGACAGGTCTTTAGGAAAAACACTAATGGGGATCAGATGGGGGAAGTACCCTGTGCTCATCATGAAATTAAAGTGCACACACAAGATCCACAGTAAACTGTTCTATGTGGATGGGATGCAGAAGAGTAGTCAATCCTGACTGCACCAAGTCCACTGTGTCTCTACGTAGTTTCACTTTTCGCACATGTAAAGCACACAGTTCTGAGGGTCAAGCCCTAACTCAACATAAACTCATGCGGTAGGAAGCACTCTGTCATGAGAGCCCTGTCACTCACACAGTTAAGGCCTCACAGCCACCACTTAACCCTTAGAGTGATTTTGCCACCTAGGTATTAAAGTGTTAAGGTTATAGGTAAGCAAAGTCAGAAGGTCCACATCTTACAGGGGAAGCCAAAGCTTGACTCAGTGACTACATTTGTCATTGTAGACCCTCAATCTTGGCTATGAAAGTAATATTCCTAACCCCCAGGCTCATCACCAACACAATCAAGTGTGGTGGTCTGAATTAAAATGGCCCCACAGGCTTACATATTTGAATGCTCAAACACCAGGAAGTGGCACTATTTGAAAGGATTATAAGGATTAGGAGGTGTTGCCTCCTGAGGGAAGTGTGTCCCTGGGGGTGGCCTTTGAGGTTTCAAAAGCCCACGAGGCCAATCTCAGTCTCTGTCTCTCTGCCTATAGACGTGATGCAGCTGCCAGCTACTGCTCCAGTGCCTGCCTGCATGCTGCCACGCTCTCCACTGTGACAATAATGGACTAAACCTCTGAAACTGTAAGCAAACCCCAAATGAAGAGCTACCTTGGCCATGGTGCCTGGTGCGACACTAGAGAAGTGGCTAAAGCACTGAGTTACCACTGCCCCCTTCCAACCAAGTAACTACTAAAATATCAAAAAGGTACAAACAGACTTAGTGGGAACAGACAGACTTATGATAAGACATAAAATGTAAAATCCAAGCTCAGCCATTTATTCCTGGCATGACCACAGATGGTGTATTTCCTGTCATGGGCCATACTCAGCACAGCATAAAACTGGACCCACTCACTCTTCCACTGTGAAGACTAAGAAAAATGCAACAGGTGAAGGAGATGGGATGTCAGCGGGTGGCAGGAGCATTATAGAGATTGTCAAGGAGGACATCCCCAGTAGAATGGCTGAGAAAAGGAAGGAGGAAGGAGAGATGTAACGTGCAAAGACTATGAGGAAGAAGCCTGTTGGGCCTACGGGCAGAAGAGGTCAGTGTGTATAGCTGGCAAGGAGATGCGCAAAGCCAAGGAGTGAATTCTGCCAGTGCCCAAGCAAGAAGTCAGAGAGTATAGGACCAGTGCCTCTACCCACTTACCATGGAGAAACAGCTTTTCCAGTTGCTCAGGCAGCTCAGCACACTGTGTTAGCTGTTCCCGAAAGCCTTCAGCCACACAACTATCCACATCACTGGCCTGCAGAAGCTCCTCAAATGCCTTGATCACGGTGCTCATGTGTTGACGGTAAATGACACAGATGTCATGGCTATCCTTAATCTGCTGCCGCTGAAGGGAGAGCTCCCTGGCTTGGGACTGAACCAATGAATCATATCTGATAAAAGAGGGAAGGAAAATGTGTGTGTCATTTTAGAATTGAATTTTTGTGACCTTAATACTAATTGGAAAAATGACAGAGCATAATTTCTGAAAGCCTGCAGCTGTACAAGCATATGTACTTTACAAAAATTGAAACTGTACAAGGTCACTCCTTTTTTGAGTTCAAACAGCCAACAAATGCTTGAACAGAGATTCTTCTGCAATATTTTTAACCTTAGAAAGCCCCCAATTAAAGCATAGATTGGCAAGGACTCAGGAGAACAATTAGTTTCCATATGCTCTTCAAAGATAGAATTCTGAATTGTAGAAACAAGTGCCCCAAGGGTTAGGGACCCACCAAAAATTCATATATATGGCAAGGGTAAAAAGAAAGGACTGTCTGCTTCCAACTGAAAGAGCTGGACTCTGAGGTACCCCTTACTGAGTAACTTGGGACCCACTGGTCATGGAAACAAGCTATCTTATGGCACCCAGTTCTCCCAGGCTTCCAACAAATGGATTCATACAGAAAAGGAAATGCTTTGCTTTTAAAACACACAGATTGCTAAACCTTTACCATCCAATACCACCTCCTTACCATTAGGTACCATCCTTCTCTATGCCTAGGAATGGTGGAGCAAGGACAGAGAAAAATCTCAGAGAGGAAAAGGAGCTACAGTAAGCTGGATCTAAAGTGGCCTGACAGGCACTTTGATTCACCATGACCACTGTTAATACCAATAACCTACAAGCAAATCACAAGACATCCATCTTAAAGGTAGAGGCCAATTCTGTGGAGGAGGAAGAGTGAGACAGTGTGGACTTAAACCTGGCCACAGGCAAGTCATAGCAACGTCTTTGAGATTCAGTTTCTCTGTCTACAAAAACAAGCTGAGAGTGTCTCCTGTGTAGTGTATCTGTGGTTAAATAATAGGTTATCACCTATTGGGGTGATACACACCTGCAATCCCAGCACTCAGGAGGCTGAGGCAGGAAGACTGTGAGTTTGAGGGCCCCTTGAATTACAGGGTAAAATTCTGTTTCAATTAAACAACAACAACAACAAATCAAACACTTTCTGCCTGGGGGCTGATAGAACTGCCCATCAATAAATAAGCTTCCCTCAATCTTGCTGCTTGGGAAGTCTTGAAAAAAAATTCACTCTGGCTCTTTGACTATTCAGAGCAGTGTTTGTCTAAAATTAGTAAGAATGAAGGTCAACTTTACAGATGATCCCATTTTGCCATATCTCACGAAGCAAATGTATATATTTATAACCATAAAGCATTATCTTCATGACCTAAGAATTTCTCGCTTTCAACACAGGCTTATTTCTCTAAGATGACCTTAAAGGGTAAAGATATGGAAAACATTTATATTCCTTCCAACCTGCCTAGGACATCCGTTCTACTTTCACACCACAGCAAAATACAATAACAGAGTTCAAAAATAAACACCGCAGCTCAGCAAACACAGTGCAATCCACAGAGTAACTGCTGGAGCTTTTACCCTGAGTCCTCAGCCTGAGCAGGGCACCACCTGCCTTGCCGATCTCAGAAGCTGCACATCTCCTAACTGGTGTGCATAGAGTGATACTATGCAGTGTAGCTTTTCACTCTTGAAAGAGAAAAGGTTCTTACCTGCCTGAACCCAGGTAAAGTGTCCCTAGCGTACACTCTACCTGTCCAAAGCAGCAGCTTTCCCTTATAGCTCCAGGGCTCTTGCTTAGCAACAACCTGGAGAACTGCAGGCTTAATAGGTAGGAGGCTGGCGCAGGAAGAAATAGGATGTACCTTGACGGAGAGAGGTCTCGGAACTTGTTCTCCAGGTTATGGATTTCACTGAAAAGTTTCAAGTTCAAATCCTGCTCCTTCTGTAGCTCCTTCTCCTGTTCCACCAGCTGTTGTTTGAGGCTCTCTAGCATCCCGTTGTCAATCATCTCTGAGGTTAGTGGATGGAGGATTTTCATATGCTTCACATACCGTACTTGGTGCAAACTTGAAACTGTCATCTCTTCTTCATCAGTTTGGCCCATAGGCTTGTTCAAGCCATCTTGAGCCCCATCTGTCCCACACAAAACTGTGATAACGGCCTCACTGCACTGAGAGTGTTTCTGTAACTGGACGATGAAGTTCCGGTAGCTATCCAGCTCGGTTTGCAAGGTGTGGATTTTCTGTTTTAAGGCTTCTGTGTCATTGGGGATATTGATGTTCTCAGACTGGTCAGTCCCAATCACACTGTCTTTAATGGAGAGTTGACTCTTAGAATTCAAGTAAGTGGCTACAGAGGTTGGGCCTAAGAAGTCTCCAGTGTTCTCTTTGCATGCTGGTAATAGGGCAAGGTCATCAGGTGAACACATTTCAGAATCTGAAAATCAAATACTAATTTTTGTCAGTATCTCCTTTGCTGCAGGCAACCCCTTACGTTGCCAGAGCCATGGCTGAGTCAAACACTAACACAATAGCCACCTGCCTCTAGTGTTTCCCACAACTGAATTCTGGATCTTAAATGTTTGAAAGCTTGTGCATTAAAAGCTTAATTTTTATGGCACTGCTGGAAGATTGTGCTGAGTTTAGGAGGTGGGGCCTCATAGAAGAAAAGCATCACTAAAGAGGACAGTAAGACCCTATCTACGCGTCAAAATACTATCTATCCTTTTAAGATGATTGCCTTAGAAAGTCTGTCATGCTCTACAAAGCTGACTAGCACACAATATTACCACTGAATCCATTCTTTCCCTCAGGTAAATGGTCTAATTTAACCATGATTAACCAGCAACATACCTAAGAGCCATCAGTTCCGCTACTCTGAGACTCCTAGGACCTGGTTAGAGGCATCCCACAGAGAGTTTCCACAAAGTCATCTGAACTTTCTGCACACATCATGTTATTTCACGATCCCATGCTTTTGCATATACTGTGGTCTGAATATACACTTGTCCTTCCACACTCAGGTCTAATTTTTCTTTTTCTGTGAACTCACCTTTGAATTGTGCACTCCCATCTACATTTCTGTGCCTGCTTGTCTGTCTGTGAGAGGCAGTTGTGAGCTGCCTGGACACAGATGCTGAGACAGGGCCTTTGCAGGAGCAGTGAGCACTCTTTTAACTAGTGAGACATCTTTCTAGGCCTGAAAAATACTTATCTTTTTTCTTTTCTTAAAAGAACAGACTTGGTTTCCAACACTGGCTCTGCCACTTCGCTTTGAATAAGCTTACTTAAGCAAATTATTACACTGTTCTGAGCCTTCAGAATTTCACATGTAAAGTAGAAAGAAAACTACTTATTAAGAGGAAGGAGCTATGTTTATTTGTTGAAATTATACTGAACGGTATCATGAAAAGGCTAGTACAGTTTTTTGAACATAGCAATAAGGGAACTCAGCCAACAGGAATGCCCTTGTTTTCCTATTTCCTAGAATCAATCTGTCAAAGATGGAAGACTTCATCACGGGAGGCATCTAAGCAAAAACTGGCTCAAGAAAAGACTTTAAGAAGAACCATGTGAGCTGGACCAGATGATCTAGAATGGTTTTCTGAAAGACAATCATATCAATATTCTGTGAAATCACAGGTTCTACAATTTGTTCCTCACAGTCACAAGTCCATTCTTGCCAGTGTTCACAATGCCAACAGCATTTGGGTTTTAGACAGCAGTGGGTATACGTGTTAATGGAAGTATTCTCAATATAGCATTTCTATAGTGTACAATATGTTATCAAGTAGGAACCATGCTATTAATCTATTTCTCTGTATCTGGCACAAGTTGAGTGACAGAAAGGGTATGTGGTAAGTTCTTGTAGATCAGAGTGCAAGGAACAGAAAGGACAACCAAGAGATCACTCAACAAAAATTCTGTTCCAGGAGTCATCCTCTAAGATGAGGAAATATGCAAATGTATCCAACTTTAGCTCCATAAGTTACACATGTCCCAGGAAGCTATGAATGCAGCCCAACACATCTGTAGACTAAAATGTCATGAAAGGTTGGGCACCCCTATAAACAAAGCAATCTCCTTGCACTATGGCCTACCTGCATTAGATAGCAAGAAGAAAAATTCCCTCAAAGAACTAAGACTAATTACATTGTTTGATGTGATATGCCCTGCCGTATGCTGTGAATATGTTTTATTACCATTGGTTAATAAAGAAGTTGAGGTGGCCAATAGTCAGTCAAAATAGCCAGGTGAGAAATTCAAGCAAAGATAAAGTGAAAAAGAACGCAGAGTCTGGGAGACTCTGGCCCTGATATCTGGGTATACAATACTGAGAGTGCCAAGGAGCAAGTGCATCCTCACGTTCACACTCAGAGCTCCACTTTAAACTTTGCTCCTAACAAAGAAACAAGTATAACATTCCTATACCTTCAAGGAAGTATAGAAACCTAACACAGTAGATGCTTGCTAAAATATATACATATATGAAGGTGATCTAAACAAAATCGCCAAATAATTGTCCATCTCTAGTCACCAAATGAAGCTTTCACTACTGGGTTTGGGTTACATCTAATTGAGTTGTTGGTAAAGGGATCCCATAAGAATCTCCAAACAACCCATGCTGTTGCCAAGACTATATTTTACTATTACCCCTTAGAAGTCTAATTGTTTTCAAATCAGAGATAGAAAGGGAGTGGAGGCAGGGAGAAACTGAGAGGAGTAGAGTGAGAGAAAACCATAATCAGTGCACAGTATGTGAGAGAAAAATTTATTTTCAATAAAGGTGGCGGGGGAAGCTATGAACTTCCCCAGCCCCTGCCAAGAAGTACTCTCAACATCCACAATCTATAACCATTTGTGATTTAGCAGAGGCAGGAGCTCCCCAGCTCCAAGGCTAATGCATAGCAACTCTCACGGCAGCACCAGTAAAACAATATAACTTTGCCATTTTGTCCTCGGCAGCCCTTGATGAAGGTCTGAGCAAACTAATTATACTTTTGGATAAAAATGTACGAATGTTGTGGGAAAGGAATCTGTCTGTCTGTCTATCTACCTACCTACCTATCATCTACCCACTCACCCACCTACCCATCCATCCATCTGCCTGAACTTGCAAGCTGGCAGACCTGGGGACTTAGACTACTATGTACTGAGACCTGCCGGCGAACCTAGCACCTTTACTTGAGCTGTCTGTGTTACTCAAGTGGAGGGCAAGGTTTTAAGAGATGGAAATACCCAAAATAAAGAGGAGAAACACTGCACCTGTTGCCTTCTGCCACAGCATCCTAGGACTGGGGGTTCCTGGGTCAGAGGCAAATGAGAATAGCTCTGAACTCTTACGAGTAAGACCAATAGCACCTGTGCAACTGATGCCCTCCATTCCTTCCCCAAGCATCTACCAAGGTGATTTTGAAAAAGGAGCCAAAGCTAAACTGTCACCCATGGCATGCAGCCCTGAGCTAAGCAGTTACTGAATAAATCAACTCAACACCAGTGCTCAAGTGCTAGGATATACAAAAACTATGTCCACAAAAGGTACATCTTGGGTGGAGAACTCAGAATAAATCAAGAAGAGAAGAAAGAGTTCAAGCACAGGCAGTCACGTGTCTACAGTACAGGAGGCACACTCAGAAGATAAATGCAGCCCAGTGAAAAATGGTCACTGAGAGAGGAAGGAAGCATCCAGAAGCCTCCACTAATCCTAGCTATGAACAAGCACCACATTCCACAGTCTCTGAAAACAGCACCACCAACTAGGGACCACATGTTCAAACCCACGAGTCTGTGAGACACAGTTCACATTCAAACCATGACCCACAGTTGAGCTAACCAGCACTTTGTTGCCTGGCACAGCAGTTTTTTCTTGAAAGCCCAGACCACCCCAAAGCACAAGATCATGCAATCAGCACAGGAAACTCCAGCCTGGGGAGAATACATGGCTGGGCCCAAGGGTCATAGCTCAATCATTTTCAATAGGCTGGTTACTCCCTGCCATCTTGTCACAGACTTAGAATTCTCAAATGACCACGACTTCTTGCAAAGTGAATTTAACGTAAACAAAAGTAATTTTGTTTTTAACAAAAGGATAAAAGATCTAAAGTAAAAAGAATAAGAAAAAGCATTAGCTCATCCTGACTGGACAGGAATGTGAATCAATGTGGTGTCCTTGTGCAGATTTGTGGGCTTATAATACTTCATAACTAAAGGGAGGGGATACAAATTTGTTGGAGTCCTCTCCCCTCTCTGCACATCCCCACTGACCTACTGGAAAAGTTCACAGTCTTGGTCTCACTCCTCCTAGATGGACAGAGAGCAACTCAACAACAGCCAACACCAAGCTGGATGCTAATGGCCTGCTACAATTCCATGTCCCTGATGTGTGTGTGAGGTCTCTTGAAAGATGACACTATGTCCCTCAAGATAAACAATCTGAACCCACCTTGCAGAAGCATCTGACAATAGACCAGTAAGTCCCACTGACATTATGGTATGCCCTGACTCTCCTGTCTCCTTACCAGATGACCCTAAGTCAGTCATTTTCAAATAACTGATAAAGAAGCCCCTAAAGAGAGGTGTTTTTTTTTTCCAGGACCTAGTAAGGACTTTGATGTAAAATGGTAGTGAACAATGCCTAGTACTCAGTAGCTATTGCATGGTGGTGGAATTCTAACCGATCTCAAAGCTTGTGTATTGGTCACTGTTTGCTTCTTTCTCTTTCCAAGCAGAGGGTATGGTTTCAGGTCCTTCTTGCTCGCCTGGGTTGTCCTGGTAGACTGCTCTCACAACAGCTGCAGGCTCTGGCAATGAGAAAGAAAAATAAAACGGGAGACTTGAAATTTAGCCAAGCAACTGAGAAGAACACAAAGATACAACTGGGAGAATAAAAACACTGGGGAGGCAGAATGCAATTTATAAGATAAAATTAATCTATCGAGCTGCCATAACAGGACATAAAAGCATAAATATAGTACAGCTTGTCTGAAATGGTTTAAGTTCAAGTTCTCAAAAGACTATGAGTGAGAAAATGAATTCCATCAACCCATGACCACTTTTCCAAAGTGAGAGAAGTCCCAGAGGCTTCTGGGTGATAGCCAGAGCAGCACCTAGCTGGTGCACTCTAGAGTTTCAGCCAGTGTGTAGAGCAGATGGCAAGTCCTAGACAAATGCCAGTCCCTCTGCTGGCTGGGTCACCTCTGCCATAGGACTTTACCTCTAAAGTCCCAACCCCCAACACTGCTTAATTATCTGCCCCTACTACAGCATGACAGGGAACTCTCAGAAGGTGGAGAACTGTTATGTGGTCTGTCTTTTTCCTACTCTCCAAGCTGGCTGGAGACATAGCAGACAATCAGATAATGTTCAACAACAGGATGACTAAAATGCCTAGATGGATGGAAGGAAGGATTAATGGGAAGTGGGAAAGGAGGAAGGGAAAGTCTGATTCTGTAGAAGGTGACTGACCTTGAACCCCAAGTAAGTGAATCTAAGAGACAGCCTAAACTTACAGGGAAGCTGCCTCTGGCTGCAGAGCATCACAAAATCCCTATAGAGTATTATGTGTTAGGCCTTTGGAATCAGCCAGGCTACTTCATAGGGAGCCCTGGCGATGAGTACTAGAGTAACTGTCCAAGTCACATCCTCTCTTTAACTGCTGCCTATGCTTAAGATGGAGACAATAATTACTGGAACTGCCTCCACAGACAGCAGGAAGATTCAATTAGAGCATGTATTTAATGTGTGCGATGGGTTCAACAATTAACAGGGACTTACTTTATTAGGGCTACAGGAAACCCAGAGCTAAAAGACTCACCTCCAACCCCTGAGCAGCTCTAGAAACACCCTGATCTGACACAATTTCCTATCTAGTACTTGAATCTTTCATTGGCAAGCTAGAAACAGTTGAGCTTTCTATGGTAGTCTGAATGTAACTGGCCCCCATAATCTCACAAAGAGTGGCACTATTAGGAGGTATGACTTTGTTGGAGGAAGTGCCACTGTGGGGGTGAGCTTTGAGGCTTCCTATGCTCAGGCTATTGTCCAGTGTCTCAGATGATTTCCAGTGACCTGCAAGATATAAGACTTTCACCTACTTTGCTAGTACCATGTCTGCCTACATTCCACCATGTTCTCTGACATGATAATGGACTGAACCTCTGAAACTGTTAAGTGAGCCACCTCAATTAAATGTTTTCTTTGTAAAAGTTGCTGTGGACATGGTGTCTTTTCACAGCAACAGAAACCACAACTAAGACACTTTGTGAACATTTGTCTCAGTCCTTGCTCTACTAAAAACTGGGCTGTCCTGAAGAGACTGCTTCTCCTATAGTCTTTGTGGTAGAGGCTGTTATTTCCATATCCCTGTATCATAAGCTCGGAGGTCTATAAGACCCTATGCTCCTTGTATATACCACTCATTCCTCCAGAAATCCCAACTGTGCAGCTCCTGCAGCAGACTGCCTGCTGATTACCCAACTTCCCTTAGTCATCTCAGTCCTCTGGTTATAAATTCACTGGCAACTTGGAACCTGGTGGCCCTTGTCCTTCACACCTCACATCAGTGCAATTCCACAGAGGTGTCTATCCTTGGTGTCTCCAACTTCTGGCCTCCGTGTAGTCACTCTGGAACTCATACCCATCAGGCCCCTCCTACAGAAGCTTCCTTCATAAAGGCCTCATTTAACACCAAGGCAGACCCCTCAGACTCATCTCCTCAGTAGCTGACTACCACTCTAACTCAGCTCCTGAGATGCTGAGATGTCACTATTACTTGGTGTCCCGCCTCACTTGCTGCTCCTCCTCAGTCCAACCTCTAACCTCTAGAACTCCTCAGTTTCATTTCTATGGACCTGAGCTATACAATATCAAATATTAGTATATGTGGCTATTCCCTGGTTTCTTTTCAAGCTTATTCCCCTCTCCTAGACAACAAACTCACCTGTTTCCAGCTGCCTACCTGAAGTCTCTACCAGGATTGTTCAACAAACCGTTAGCCAGAAATCTAGTATCCCCCAATTCCTGCCTCTACTGTGATCTTTCCTATACTGCTGCAAGGCAGCTCCATCGTTCCAATGGAGAGCAAAGGAAACTATCCCTTTAAAACACAAGTTGGCCTAATTCCTTCAATAAGCAAAATAACACAATTTGGGGGCCTCTAGCATACCTTTAACTCTACTTTATAATAAAACAGTTACATTCATGTGAATGACTAGAGCTGAGTATCAATAAGCTTAAATCACAAAAGCAAGCAGCAAGTTTGATTTGGCCAAAGACAGTACTTTGCCAGCTCCTGTTTTAAAGCTTAAGTGAGATCTCACCATTGTGTGGCTTAAAAGCCTCCAACAGTTCATCTTGTGAAGATGAAGTCCTAGAATGGTCTCTGATAGCACACCTGGTCTGCTGCTCATTGACCTCATCTTCTACATCTCTGCCTGCCCCTCTCCCATGCTATGCACACCAACCATTCTTGTAACTGGTCTCCCTACTCCATACCCAAATTCTCAAGTATAAAGCAATACCAGGACTTTTGTCCTTGTTCCTTCACTCAGGACAACAAGCATGCTAACTGCTCCAAGTTTCCAACCAAATCCCACCTTGCCACAGAGCATGCTAACACTCATGAGGGTTAGTGAACCCTATTCACTCCTCATGCCCCAAGCCCCTCATCCTGCTGCACTTTTCACAAGCACTGTGTTGTACAGTAAGCACTGTCTTTACACACACTCAAGAACATAAGCTGGAAAGCGATCTCATCTGCTTCGTGCTCTTATCACCACAGAGCCTGGAACAGATTGGCACACAGGATCCTACTGTGAATAGGGGTTCTTCATGTGACTGTCAATTGCTTACAGTAGGAGATCAGAATCAAGTGTCAACACAGGCACATTTGAAGGTTCATAAGCCTTTGGGGAAGATGTAAATGCTACTTTTGTGCTGACCTGAACTATTCTATGAGGGTTCTCTGTACTCTCCAGAGTCTCAGAGCATTGGCTGTCTTAGTTAGAATTTCTACTGCTGTGAAGAGACACCATGACCACGGCCAACTCTTATAAAGGAAATTTATTTCCTTATAAAGGAAATGCAATTGTAGTGGCTTGCTTACAGTTCAGAGGTTTAGTTCATTATCATCATGGCGGGGAGCAAGGCAGCATGGAGGCAGACATGGTGCTGTAGAAGGAGCAGAGAGTTCTTACATCTTCATCCAAAAGCAACAGAAAGTGGCCTGAGACACTCGGGCATATGAGACCTCAAAAGCTGCCCCAACAGTGACACACTTCCTCCAACAAGGCCATAATACCCATTCCAACAAAGTCACATCTTCTAATAGAGAGGGCCATTTTCTTTCAAATCACATTCCATTCCTGGCCCCCAAAGGCTGATGACCATAGTATAATACAAAAATGCATTCAGTCTAACTTCAAAAGTCCACATAGTCTATAACAGTCTCAAATTTATTTAAAAGTCTAAAATTCAAAGTCTCTTCTGAAATTCATGCAATCTCTTAACTACCATCACCTATAAAATCAAAAAGCAGATCACATACTTTCAATATATAATGGCACAGGATATTACCATTCCAAAAGATAGGGAAGGAAGCACAGTGAAGAAATACTAGACCAAAACAAGACTGAAAACCCAATGGGCACACTCCAAACTCTGCATCTCCATGTCTGATATAAAAGCACTCTTCAGATCTCCAACAGTTTTGTTGACTGCAACACCCTTCTTTCTCTTGGGCTGGTTTCACTTCCTGTTAAGAGCTTCCTCAGCAGGTAGCTCAGGGCTCTGGCATCTCTAAAGTTTTAAGATCTCCAAGACAATCCAGGATTCAACTTCACAGCTTCATGCAAATGGTCTCACTGGCCTCCATTCAGAGACACCCCATGACACATGCCCAGCTTGCTTCAGTGACTTTTCTTCTTAGTCCTTTCTTCTATCCTTAAAGCCAGGACCACATGGTTAAAGTTGCCAAGTTCTGCTGCTTATTGGGGCTGGAACATGGCCTCATTGATCAATTATATCTTCACCAGCTTTCCATTTTTTATGGTTACCTTCACTGCCTAAGTTTGGCTGTCTTGGAACTGGATCTGCAAACCAAACTTGGATCTCAAACTTGGAGATCCACCAGCTTCTGCCTTCCCAGTGCTGGGATTAAAGGTGTGCACCACCATACCTGGCTCTAAGCTTTTAAATCCCTTTCACAAAATGGAACTTTAGCTGGTGGGATGATGCCTTGAGGTCACCATCCCCTTTCTCTCATTAAGATTCTTTCTTAATCTGTCTATCTCCTTGAACACAGGATTTAGCTCCACTCCATGTTCTGGTGCCCCTTTTCTCCTCAAATTTTAAATTTTGTATTTTTCCTTGCTCAGCTTGCTCCTTCTCATTATACATCTTCATTAGAGTTAACACTAGCAACCACACAACAGAGTCTATACTGGGCTGTTTTGAGATTTCCTTTGCCAAGGGATTTAATCCAAAACTCTTCATTTTAACCTCAAACTTTTCAGACAGAGGTATAAAGCAGTCACATTCTTCACCAAAATATCACAGGAACGATTTCTAGGCAATATACTAAAACAACTCTGAAACCTGTTGAGCTAACCCCTGACAGTTCAAATCCCTCTTAGCAACACTGTCTTCCATGCTCCTACTGGTATTGCCCATTAAGAAGTCCTTAAAGAGCTCAACTTCTTTCTTAACCCAAAATACTAGAGTTCAAATTCCTCCGAACAAAAACATAGTCTGGTCTTTCACAGCAACACCCTAGTCCCTGGAATCAACTTCTGCCTTAGTTAGGGTTTTTATTGTTGTGAAGAGACCTCATGACAACAGCAACTCTTATGAAGAAAAACATTTGTGGTGGCTCACTTACAGTTTCAAAAGTTTAGTCCATTATCAGTATGTTGTGACCGGTGGTATGAGGGAAACATGGTGCTGGAGTTGAGAGTCCTACATCTTGATACATAGGCAACAGGAAGTGGTCTGTATCACTGGGCATGACTTGAGCATATATGAGATCTCAAAGCCGCCTCCACAGTGATACGACACACTTCCTCCAACAAAGTCACACCTCCTAATAATGCGACTCCCTGTAGGGAGTCATTTTCTTTCAAACCACCCACTGTAATGGTGATCCACAATCTTGAAGTACTATTGTCTTGAACTAGGAGACACTAGTTCAGGAGTCTGAAAGGTTTTGTCCAAGTCTTTGGATTCTGCTTCCTTAGGCATATTTTAACCCTTATGTCCCTGAAGAACCATGACTAGGGAAGTGGATTATATGTACAGTGACAAAAAGTCAGTAGCATTTGAGGTGAGCCTCGAGTTAGCCAGATAATTCTGCAAAGAAGACCATCATTTACAAATTGTACTGCTACCTGCTAAGTCTCTTCACAGGCCTGGGAAATAGTTAAAAAAAAAAAAATCCAGATTCAAACCAAGGCATCCATACACAATTCTAAGGGAAAGCAGCAGAGACCCCTGCCTCCATGACCTTAGAACATTACAAACCCTACTACTCCAGACTCCAGAATAAAAAAGAAGCCAACTGATTTGTCTCCCTTCTCATATTTTTCCACTGTGCATTTTTCAAGAGTTAAGATTAATCACTAGGAACTTATATACAAATCACTGCAATTCTGAACAATAGGAAGGGCATTTTAGGCAGTTCTGTGGGCCACTCACCCAGCTCATGGGAATACATTTTCTTGATGCTTACCATTCAGCAACACAGGGTTGGGTATTGCCATCCCCTCCATCATTGCCTCTGCCAGAATGAGCTTGTCATGGAGTTTCTTATTGCGTGTTTTACACTCTTTCAGCTCCCCCTGCAGCTCTAGAACCTGAACCTGGAGCTGAGCTACCACCTCTGGGGAGGCAGGAAGATCATACACATTTTCCAGTAACTCAGATGCTTTTAACTTGATCATCAATTCTGTCTTCTCAGCATCCTGGAAACACACAGGTACAGCACTGAGTATGCTTAAAACATGTTTTGTTTTGTTTTACGAGCAACATTTTTGTGTTTTTAAAGTAGGTTAAAATAGAGGTGCTCACCCACACTCTAGCCCTATATAGCAGCATCTGTCCTGTCCACCCCTAAGAAAGAGCACAAATCGTAGCAGATTCCCACCCCCTTCCTGACATATACCCACACTGTTAAGGGTCCTTCTTTACATCCTCTGGGCTCTGGTTCATGTTCTCTTTGGATAATTCAAACATTCTAAAATTGGTTATTTCATATTTAACACAGTCTTCTCAGAAATGTTTTTATTTTTGTTTTTGTTTTTATCTGTTTTTCCACCATTCCTAGTGTGAGCCCATCTGTCTTATGCTTTTGCAAGTCCCCTACTTAAGTGGCTACTGACTGGGTTGCTACCTAGTGTATTTCTCAAACCCAGAGTTTCGTACCAGTCTAACCTATAAAAGCTTTAAAGGTCGTCAACGCCTTGATTTCATTATGCCACATCCCCAGCAGCAGGTTATTGCCATAGCTATTACAGTCATTCACTCACTACACCAGCCAGGAAGCTGAGTCTTTATGAACCTCCCTTTCTTCTTATCACTCCGTTTTGGTGCTCAGCAGACTCCAGTAAGTACAATTCCTAAGGTGTTTCTCAGTTCTTCTAACTCTCCTCATCTTCCTCTGGCACCCCAGTACAGGCTCCTAGCTCTCACCTGAGCAGCCTCCTGGTAGTACAGCATTCATTTTGAGTCTCTCTAATCCACTCCATGCTGCTGCAGAGGCAAACCGACTATTCCTTGGTGCTTAAAACTATTTTCCTGGCTATTTTAAACAAAGGTCAATGTCCACACTATAGTACAGCATGACGCACAGTCTAAGTCACTGCTCATCCCCATGTTAGCCTACTCTCTGGTTACACATACCTTCTATGGGTTCCTCACAATACCATGCTTCTTGCACTTCAGAGCTTTAGCATATGCTTTTTCTAAACACTCATTCTTGCTCACCTCTGCTTTCCTACTAGGCCATTCATCAGGACAGTTCAGATGTGCCACCCTCAAAAGAACAAGCCCTTGACTTCCAAGTCCAAGCCAAAGCTTCCTGTTACACACTCAGAGTCCCTGTCATTTTTTTCCCAGAAGACATCAGCATCACTGTAATGCCTGAGAAAATCCATAGTTACCACCTGTCTTCCAAACCTGAATGTAAGGCCTAGAGTTTCAGTCTCTGCATATCTTTACCACACCGATCATAGGTTCCAATTTAGTATATAGTAGACACTCCAGAGGTCAGATGAGGTGGCAAATTTCAAACATACTCAAAACACGAGGAGAATCAAACCTCGATGTAACATCGAGTGTAAACTCGATGTAAACTTCGAGTAATCATGTGGGCCATCATGTTTATTCCTGTGTATCTTCTCAAGAGAAACAAAAACACCTGTCCACACAAACATCTGCTTGAATAGCAACAAAATAAAATGTGCAATAACCATACCCTAGAATACTATGTGGTGATAAAAACAAAGGAAGAGCTATCTTCTCATGTTGCACTATGAATGAACTCAAAGTATTAAGTTAAATGAAAAAGTTAGTCACATATTGTAAGCTTCTACTATAGAAAATGTCAGATAACCAGGAGGTAGATTAGTGGCTGCTTAGAACTTGGGATGGGCAGGTGGGAGTCTGGTCTGACCACTAAGGAGCACAGAGCTGGCTTAGGGAATTATGGAAATGTTCTATCAGATTTGTTTTCAAAGAACCAAGATGTCACACAGCTACTCCAATATTATACAGTAGAAGGCTTGGGGAGAAAACCAGCTCTTCAAACTCCAAGGCTGTTAGGACAAGTGAGATCTCTCTGTCCTGGAATTCCAAGGATAAGAGAAAATGTCAAGGAAGTGGGCAGTCTGAGGAGGTGAGAGGAACCACTGTGGGGGGGGGGGGGCCAAATGCCTCAGCAGATGACTGGGAATGAACAGTCAATTTTTTGGTCCTGGGTCTCCACCAATCTTTATTCTTGAGCCCAAATCTGTGTGTCATATGTCAGCAAAGAAAATATCTGAAGTGCACAAACGCCAAGGCCTATCTGAGGTTGGAAGATTGCCATCATTCAGCATAACATGAGTTCTGAAATAACAACACATAAAACGCTGCCATATGGACTAGAGCAGTCTCACCTACCCCCATTATTAAAGATGGCAGATTGTATGGCATTATTTAGGAACAAAACTCACATGTTCCAAGTCCTGCCACACAGTCCTCTGCCCTTGCACTCTTACCTCACGGTGCATTCACATAGCCTGGGAATCTGGGTTACACTGACCCCATTCAAAGTATGAGAGGCCATGTGGGCAGCCAGGCCTGATACAAGTACAAGTATGTCTATAAATTCCTCTACAACCATGTTTCTGGTCATTCTGGTCTCTGCCTCACCTTTAGGCTGTAGTGATGTTCTTTTTAACTAGATACGAGAGTTCTGGCTTAATTCACTGAATTACCAATTCTGCCACTATCAAAACCACAAAGCCAATGTCTTTCTCTGAAGCCAAGCAAGTAACTATCTTCTCTCCACTTGCCAGCTAAGGAATTCTGGACAGGTCTCTAAGTTTTGTGGCATTGTGTTTCTTTAAATGTACAATGATTACATTTGCTGAAAAAATTAAATAAGATAATAAAGGTAACTCGGCACAGTCCTTGAGACATACAGCAGATGATAAACGTAAGGGAATGAATAAATAAAATTTTCCCCTCTTGAAGACATAGTAAAGATAATTTTATTTAAAAATAAAATATATTTGAAAAAATTAAGTCCATTCAATTACCCAATTTCCTGAACACAGGATGGCATCTACCACACAACAGAAAAAAAGCAAACAAACAAAAAAGAAAAAAACAATAAATCTATCCAGTTTTCCTAATACATAGGTACAAACTGAAGAAGCTGGGGCAAACAAAAGCAATTCTATTCTAGCCAAATTGAACAAATTTGCATTTTGAGTACCATTAATATAATGGCAGTGCATACTGTATATATACTTGTTTGTTTTACTCTCTACTGATATCTTTAGAAAATCCTCTTCTAGAAATTACAGTTTTGGTGCATAATTTAAAACAATCAAAAGCAATTTTGTTAATGATATATCTAACTCTGTTTGGTAGGCACAAAAGCAGTAATTTAGTGGTCAGAAAAGAAACTTAATTCTCCATTCTGAGGCTATGAAGCAGTGTGTACAGTTGATTTCTATGCTATAAAACAGCCATCAGAAGCAAGCATACCACAGTCTTCACGAAAGGTATCAGAATCATAACCTCTTTCCTTCTTTACCAGAACACATCACTGTTACAGAGATTCTCAATGCTAACCCTTACTCCCAAAGGACTGGAAGAAAGGTTCAATCATGCACTGTCAAGTGAGTCTGATTCTTAATCATCTGGTCTGTGTGACTGTGCTTACAGTTTACAGAGCAGCTCAGGGAGAAAACCAGCACACACACACACACACACACACACACACACACTGACTCAGCAAAAACCAGACGTCTCCATTTTGGACACTGTGTTTGGAGGGTAGCTTGGCAGGGAACAGGGATGCTCTTGCAAGCAGACACAGTGGGTGCCCCAGCCTAGGCCCTTTACTTTAGGCTGGAGAGCCTTGAGTGCTCAGAATCTGGCATCCAAAAGAAATAAACCCCTCAGAACGATGTCTCCGACACAAATTCCTCCTAAAACAGAAGCCAGGCTCACATCCTCTAAAGTTGAGTTTTTACAAATTTACAGCGTGCAAAGGGAAAAGAACCATATAAACTCTGGTCCAGTAGAATCTTAAGCAGCCATCATGGGGAAACATCCTAGTTCATAAAACCAAGAGAAAACTACAGGCAGATGGATAGACAGAATTCCAGGTGTGATTTTCCTAGTGAAAACACCAAAGTGTACTGGGTAAATAAGATATGGCTGGGGTCAGGGTAAGAAGTGGGAGGAGAGAAAAAGGAGGGTAGAGTGCAGAGGACAGGGAAAGGAGGCTGGGACAACAAAGCAAAAGGGAAATGCCAGATTTGGCATTCACAGAAACAGAAAATATGGTGGCATTAAAGGTGATTTTTTTAAAAAAAACTTTGTTGCTGTTATTGTTTAAGGGAAATACATAATTAATATATAGAAAACCTTACCTTGTTGATTGTACTAGGGAATGAGAGGGGAGTGGCCCGTAGCCTTGGTATCTCACACAAGGCCTCTGCTTCAGGGTCAGTGCTGAAAACGGTCTCCTCTGATTCCTCTTCCCAAGCTTCTCTCTTCCCCTTAGATCTGAATTCATGGGGGGTGTCCTCTATGGTGATAGTTTGCATTGAGGCATTCTTCAGCTCCACCTTGGCTCTGTCACCTGTCTTTACTAGCCAGGTCCCCCATGTTGACTTGAGTTCATTGTGTGACTTGGAGAATGAGTTGTCTGGGAAGGAAAGGTCAAGTTCATCTCTCAGCTGAAGAGCTACTTGCTGCAGTGCCTTCTTAGCTTTACTATCAAGGTGATCTCCAGGAAGTTCCTGCTCTCCCGAGTATATTCGTTCCAAAACCAAGGTACCCAGTGCTTTCAGAAGATCTGGTCTGCTTTTCCAAAAAGACAGTGGGAGAATCAGCTTCCTATTTCAGATTCAGCGACAACCTAGCCTCCCAAGTTTTCCCCTACCAATCCTGTCCAGATTTCACTTGCATTAAACATAGTGAGTTCCCAAATATGCCAGGAACCACGACAAGTATTTGAACTCATGCAATCTCACAATACTCAAACAAGACAGGTATCGCCCTGCTTAGCTTGTGAACAATGTCACATAAGTACAAAGCCAGCTAACTGGATCACATGGATATATGAAAGGGGGCTTGCCTAAGGAAGAGCAAATAAGATCACAGGGTATCCATGGCAATTATAGGGGACCCAACTCTATGATACTGGCCCCATTCCTATGTTCAGTATACAAATATGGTTTTGAACTAACAATGCCAGGCTGGATACTCCACGGGTGACCTGATTGGTCTTGGTCTATAATAGGTGTTCAAGGAACAGATATTAATAAAGGATGCTTCATTAGCAAGCATGCAGATAGAGTACAACTAGCGCATTGCTGTGCTAGTTGGTTTGTCAAATTGGCACATTCTAGAGTAATCTGAAAAGAGGGACTCTCAATTGAGAGCATGCCCCTTCAGACTGGCTTGCAGTCAAGCCTGTGGGGCATTTTCTTAACTGACCGATACAGAGGACCCAGCCCACCTTGAGGAGTGCTATCCCTGAGCAGTGATCCTGGAGTGTTTAAGAAAGCGGCCTGAGTAAGCCAGCAAGCAGCTTTACTCCACGGTCTCTGCTTCAGTTCCTGCTTTGCTTTCTTTGATGATGGACTATAACAGGGTAAGCCAAATAAATACCATCCTCCCCAAGCTGCTTTTGACATGGTCTTTCTCACAGCCATAGAGAGCAAACTGGGGCAAAGACAGATAAATGGCTTCAGAGGCTGAGCGTGTTGTTCGGAGACACAGCATTTGCTTAGCATGTCCAGGCCTCTGTTTGACCTCAGCACAGAAAGTAAAATAAATTCAAATAAATAACAAATGGAATGGCTCCAAACTCTATGTGATTCTTTGACAGAATGGTAAATCTCCTTCCAGAGAATAGGAAGATTAGAGGAACAATGAGGATTAAAAGAGGTAGCATCCTGATAGCAGATGTTCTTTGTCGTGTGCCTTGCCCCACTTCTACTAGTAACTGTAGCTGTGTGGACAGTTCCTGTAGATGCAGGAGGCCCCACTTCAAGCACCCTGTGCTTCTCTGCTGCCCTTCAAAGCTGAGTCAGCCTGCAAGACAGGATGGAGTGGTCAGAGAGCTGAGCTATCTGGGTTGAGAGCCATGGCATGAATGTCCTAGCTTCCATCCTGAGGACAGAAGCCCCAGGCTGCACTGCCCACTGGAGTGCCAGGCTGCCCAGATCAACCATACAATCTTCACTGGCTTCCTGCTCCCATATACACAAGTCTGAGTCTCTGGCTCTGCTTTTCAGTGACTTAGAGTAAAGCCAGCATGAGAAGCACCCAGGATGGTTCTGGTATGGCACATATGGCTGGAAGCCTCCTCTGTGTGCCGGACCCTATACTGGCACAAGGGCTACGGCATGCAAACTGATGCTAGGAAGCAGTAAGTACATAAGTGACTAATCCACAAGGCCAAGGGGGAAACACAGCGGAGTCAAGTGGTGATGTAAGCATGACACTGAGATGAACAGTCATGTCACTACGCGGTGAAGGGCAAAGGAAGAATAGGAAGTAGGCAGGGGACACAGGAGAGTCTCACATGCCACACTGTGCTGAGGAAAAGACAGGTCTCTGCACACATGGGCTTCAGAAGATGAGGAGCTCCTGGGCAACGGGCGGACTTTCTATCAAGATGGCGGCACAAACACACATGTGCTCCTTCCTCATCCACTCACAGAAAGGACAGAAGGTATACATAACAAAAAGAGGTGCACAACAGGGCTCAAAACTAAAGACCCCAGAGAGAAAACCCAGCCTGGAACTAGGATGGGTGGGGGGGTAACAACAGAAACACAACATCCCCTCAGGGCAGAAGTGAAATCTGACAGATGTGTGGGTGGTTAATAGGTATAAACCAAACTTACATGTAAAATCCTCTCTTTAAAAAGACAACAATCAAACAGGCAAAACGGCTTAGTAAGTAAGAAAACTTGTTCTCTGAACCCATGTAAAAGTCCAGGCATGCCTATAACTCAAGCACTGGAAAGCAGAGGCAGGCGTACGTCAAGAGCTCACTGCCAGCCACATAACTGAAAAGATGAGCTTCCACTTCAGTGAGAGTTCTTTGTCTCAGAGCAATAAGGCAGACAGAAACAGAGGAAAACACCTGGCATCTTACTCTGTGCTCCACATATGTGCTTACAAGCACACATACATGTACCACACGCCACACCCACATATGCACAGGAATACACCAAACTATGACAACCTAAGAAATCAGAAAATTCATATGGAAGGGAACAGAAAACAATCGACGGAAGTTCAGGAAAAAAAGGTTTAAGATGTATTTATTTTTATTTTTCTGTATATCTGTTTTTATTTTATGTCTGTGCAGCAAGTGTATGCATGCAGAGACCAGAAGAGAGTGTCAGATCCTCTGGAACCGTAGCTACAGACAGTGCTGAACTGTCCGACGAGTGCTGGAAACCAAACTTGGGTTTTCTGTGAGTGCAGCAAGCGCTCTTAACCTCTGAGCCATCTCTCCAGCTCCCCACCCCCAAGAAGAAAGTTTAAGGCTGAAAGACACTTAAGGAAATGCTCTACATCCTTAGTCATCAGAGAAATGCAAATCAAAATAACTCTGAGATTTCATCTGACACCTGCAAGAATGGCCAAGATCAAAAAACACTGATGACAACTTATGCTGGAGAGGTTGTGGGGAAAAGGGAACACTCCTGTATTACTGGTGGGAATGCAAGCTGGTATAGCCCCTTTGGATACCAGTGTGGCGATTTCTCAGAAAATTAGGAAACAACCTTCCTCAAGACCCAGTAATACCACTTTTGGGTATGTACCCAAAGGATGCTCAATCGTGCCACAAGGACATGTGCTCAACTATGTTCATAGCAGCATTGCTTGTCATAGCCAGAACCTGGAAACAATCCAAATGCCCCTCAACTGAAGAATGGATAAGGAAAATGTGGTACATTTACACAATGGAGTACTACACAGCACACACACAAAAAAATAATGACATCTTAAATTTTGCAGGAAAATGGATGGACCTAGACAACATCATTTTAAGTGAGGTAACCCAGACCCAGAAAGACAATTATGACTCGTACTCACTCATAAGTGGTTTTTAAACATAAAGCAAAGAAAACCAGCCCACAAACCACAATTCCAGAGAACTTAGACAATAATGAGGATCCTAAAAGAGACATACATGGAAAGTAGAAAAAGACAAGATCTCCTGAGTAAATTGGGAGTGTGGGGACTTTGGGAGAGGGTTGAAGGGGAGGGGAAAGAAAGGGTGGGGAGCAGAGAAAAATGTAGAGCTCAATAAAAATCAATAAAATTTAAAAAAAAGAATAGTTTAAATCACTGATGAAATAAAGAAAGAAAACAAAAAAGATGGGGCAGAGGTGAAACAGAACTAGAGAACTGAGAGAAGTGCTCTAGGCAAGGGCTGGTCTAGGAGCCATGGCTGCTGGAAGGGTCTCTCAGGTACATGAGCTCATGCAGTCACAGAGAAGCCTTTGGGTTACTTCCACTGCCATTTCCATTCAGATCCTCCTTATTGCTTTACTGCAAGAAACCTTGTAATGTAGTCATATATATGCAGCTTACCCTCCCTCTGATGTCAGCCACCATGGAAAAGGGCACTACCCAGGCTCATCTCAACACGCCCACTTCAGACAGCAGTAAACCCCGCCTCATTTCCAGAGTCCCATGGTCTAGATCCAGGAAGTGAACTCAATTCAAATTTTAAAAATTAAAAGCAAAATGCAAGCTGCCATCACTTATTTCTACTGTAAAATCATTTAAACTACAATGACCAGCTTAAGCTATAATAAACATGAACTTTAAAAATATTTCTGATATTCTTAGTATCAGGACTAAATTTTCTTTTCTATTCCTTTCTTAATATAGTTAAGTAATAATGACAATTGCTAGTCAGCTAGCCAAAGGAGGACCATCACTCACCACCAAATAACACACAATAAAACCTAAGAAAAAGACTTTTCAAATGGGTAGTAAACAGCAGCAAAGGAGGTCACTGAAATATACTAGAGTGATGGCTATTAAATCAAACATTTCAAGTGTTGCTTGTCTGGAAATGGGAATAGCAAAATCATTAAGCTGTCTCCGTAGTCAGGACCTTCAGACTGGTGTGGCCCAAGGGTCTTATCAGAAGCCTGGGTGGTACTTCTACACCCCTCCTGAACATCTGGGCCAAGCAGAAGGTATAAGAGAAGGCACTGACATTTACTAAGCACTTGCCATGTGTCAGGTCCTTGAAACACACAACATCCTCACAGGCTGTGAGACCAGATGAAGAAACAGGCTCAAAGAAAAAACAAGGTCTCAGCCAAGTGGCAGAGCAAAGATTAAAACCTAGGCCTTTCTGACACCAAGAGAGCTCTAATTCTTCCTGGTTTTCCAAACTTAATCTTTGCTGCACTGTGGAATGCTCAACTATCTGCCATTCATTCACTGACTGGATACTTTCCATTTTTCTCAAGAGGAATGGGCATGCCTTTAAGGCAGTGACAGACACACAGCTATGCATACACTGAGAACTAAATCAATGCACAGTACTTGCATAATAATCAAAGAATTATGAATGAGAGGGAAGGTGAGAATGAATCAGAGAAAGCATACAAATGGGATTCTCTTTAAACCAAGTGGTTGGTAAGAGCCTCCCCACAGAGCTGACTGCTCACCAAAGCTCTGCTGACTGTGCATTTGGGTAAGTGTATCACAGCACAGGGAACACTAGCTACCAGAAGCCCCCAATAAGAACAAGCTTGGTGTGGCTGAGGCCCAGCAAACACAAGGCGTGGATGATGAAGCTGGAGAAATGG